GGGAAAGGCCACATCGTGGACAGAGACCAGCAGAGCAGTGGTACAGAGCGTCCCCACGAACCCACACGTGGATGGGACTTGACAAAGGGCGTTCCTGTAGGCTTCTCACCTGGTCCTCACCGTGGATTCTGGGAGGGTGGGAGGTTAGACCCATCTCACGGATGGGGTCACTGAGATCCAGAGAGGTCGCATGGAGTGGCTGCCTGGCTAGTGCAGGGATGACTCGGGACCTGACCTCAGGTGTATGTGACTGCTGCTCTGTGCCGCTCGGAGCCTGAATTCTCGCCCAGTCTCGCCCCTTGCTTTGGACTGGGAGCGTCTCTCTCAAGACAGGAGTCCCCACTCCGTCCCCCTCCCTCTCTCTTTCATCAGCCCGTGGACACTGATCAGAGGTTGTGCGTTCATGGGAAGAGGAGGTATCCTCGGACTCAGCAATACTGAGAGTCAGAGCAGGAGGAAGGGGAAGCTATTCCCTGCCGGGTCCATAGCCCCGGTCACTCTGGTGTGTGCTGCGGGTGTTCCCCGTGGCCGCAGGTGCACCTGTGCTCTTCTCCGAGAGGGATGGAGATCTGGCTTAGCAGATGGAGCGTAACCCCTAGATCGAGGGTCAGCACAGCGTGCTGTTTTCTTTTCCCCTGTTGGGCTGTTACCTTACTGGCCCTCATGCATAATCGTAGGGAAGAGGTTTGTGCACACGGCTGTTATTTTGTGTTTTTATTTCCCTGCATAAAGTAATTCGGAGGAGTAGGAGAACGTCCATCTGCTTTTCACAAAGGCGAGGGGGTGTTCGTTCTTCAGCAGCGCACGAGTGTCCCCGGGCAGCGCCCTTGCTGGCTTTGCCTCTTACAACTTCTTATCAGCGTTACCAGAGCGTGATTCACGTGAGACAAAGTGCGTCCACGTGGCCACTTGGATGAGGTTTGCTGGCTGTATGTACCCGTGAAGCCATCAGCGTGAGAAACAGAGCATGTGGGGACAACCACTGCTCTGCTTTTTTAAAAATTTTATGTATTTGAGAGAGAGAGTGAGAGAGAGAGAGAGAGAGAGAGCACATGAGCAGGGGGAGCAGCAGGCAGAGGGAGAAGCAGGCTCCCCGCTGAGCAGGGAGCCCGGTGCGGGGCTGGATCCCAGGATCCTGGCATCATGACCTGAGCCAAAGGCAGAGGCTTAGCCCACTGAGCCACCTAGGCGAATTTTTGATTACTCGTGAAATTAGTGTTTTCCCGCATTTTTGTTAACTGGTTACATTTCCTTTTTGGTATGTTCCCCATTTTTAGGGTCTGTGGGCATTTCGCTTCAACACCCGCTGTGGTCGGAGTTCCTCTGTCCCAGGCACCGGTCACTGAACCGCGGCTTGCCTCCCCCGGGCTTCACGCTCCCTTTGATTCCAGTGATGCTTCTCTGGGACTAGAGGGCAGTTTGGAATGTTCGGGAAGGCGGCTCTTGACCACTGAGACTTCTCTTCTGCTTCTGACTTCAAGCGTCGGGGCGTGGAGGTGGTCTGCAGTCCTGCTCCCCGCGGTGATGCCCACGGCCCCCTTCTGGCCCTTGTCCTGGTGGCTTTTTGCCTCGAACCCCTCTCCCGCCTCACGATGGGCCTTCTTGGTCTCGTGTTAGAGGAAGCTGTGCTGGAGTTGGAGTGTCTTCCCCGCTGGGCTCATCAGGCCGGTGCTGAAATCGTGATATTCAGGATTCTGTCCCCCAGTGGACGGCGAGTCTTCAAGCCCCTTGTTGCATTTGGAGCTCCCTGGCACTGGGTCCCCTAACTTGCAGGTACCCTGGCGGTGGGGTGACGGTCGGCCCAGGCTGGACACCCTCTCCTCTTCTCTCCCATTACACCTTCTCAGTGCCCACGGCAGGCCCACCGCCCCACGCGGCTCCCCACGGTGTGACAGTGGAGTCGTTGCCCCGGGCCCCGGAGAGCCCAGCGAGGGGGGCTTCCAAGGCTTCTCCGGGAGATCTTCGTTAAGTCAGGGCCTGTGGCTGATGGAAGGAGGCCCGGGCTCCTGGGAGACGGCTCTCGCTGGGCCATCTCCCAACTGGGCAGCTGGGCTAAGCCATTTATGCAGCATTTAGGGAGTACCTGCTGCATGCCTGACCCTTTGCTGGGCTCTGAGATCTGGTGGTGGCCAAGACAGAGTCCCGACTCCTGGGACGCTCTCCTGCTGTGGGGGACAGACAGCAGACATGGGAACACCAGGGGGGATAAGGTTGTGGCAGCCGTGAAACCAGGTGACATGACAGGGAGAATGAAGGGGGCACGTCTGGTGTGGGCCCTGGAGAGGTTCTGGGAAGAGGCGACATCACGGCTCAGTGGGATGCCGGGAGGGGCTGCCGCGGCCCGGGGGCCCAAGGCAGGGGATTGGCAGCCGAAGGGAAGCGGGGACAGAGCACCCGAGGTCAGCGTGCACTGGAGGCCGGTGACCGGGGATGGAGCCGGGTGAGGACTCTGGGTTTAATGTGGAGTGCGATGGGGAGGCTGCAGGCGGGGCAGGGAGAGGTGTTTAAACAAATGTCCTGTGGCTGTGGTGCGGAGGGTGGGCTGTCGGGGCGGCCGTGTACGTCCCCGCGGAGATGGCCCTCGCTCCCAAAGCGGTGGCTGTGAGCGTGGGGAGAAGGACTGGCATGTGGCTGCTGAGAGCTTGGTGGGAGCGTTTGTGTGGCAGGACGGCATGGGCCTGGCGCTGCCCCCTCTGAGATCTTGTTTGGTGTGTGGCCCGGAGAGGGTGGGGGACCTGGGAGGGCAGCTGGGATTTCCCACGAGGAGTCAGCCCTGGCCATCAGTGTGGTTCAGGCTCCTGGGGCCTGCAGACTGTCGTCGTGACCCCGGTGGGGGAGCTGTGGAGAAGGTGTGCTTAGCTCTGCCAGGCAGGGAAATGGGACCCCCTACTGGCCCCCGCTGGGCACGGAGGCTAATAGCACAGCGTGCATATGTTGTGCCCCATCCAGAACTTCCTCCCGAAGCCGGACCCCTCGTCCCTCAGCCCGGGAGGCCAATCCCGTGTGCACTGCGCTCCCAGGGCAGGACAGCTGCGCACCACGCCGTGGGTCTGGAGCCTCCCGGCCCTTATTCTCACCGAGTTGCCGAGTGGAGCGCGGAACATCTTTCCAGAGCCTGAGCGTGGGGTTGGCCAGGTCCTAGGGCCTCAGCAGTCTCTAACGCTGTGAATTTGAGCACGTCCTTGAACCTACTGAGGGCTGGTCTTTTCTGTGCCAGGGCAGTGATGACAGGGCGTCGCGACCGCTGATGGCGATAGCCTATGTGGTGCACGTGGCCCAGGCCCACAGGTGGCAGGCGTGCTTCTCGTCCATGCTGACCGGGCACCCAGTTACCACTGGGCCACTATGGGGTGACTTCTGTTAGCACCACGAGAGGAATCACCCGCGGAAGGCAGTTCCTTGCCCCAAGGACAGACACTGGTGGCGACCCTCTGTCTCTGTGGCAGGCGGAGGGGTTTGAGGTGTGAACCCTGCTCATCACAGCCAGAGACGCTTCTCGGGGGCGTCCCAGGACCCACAGGGAGGGCGCCTTTGCTCTCCTTTGCAGGGGGTCTGTAGTGGTGGGACTAGGCATTATGTGTCATCAGAGTGTGTGGTAACCGCTAAGGAGTGACGCAGGAGGAACGCAGATGGGGGGCGGGGGGCTCGGTTCCGCCCGGGGCCAACAGGCAGGTGCACTGACCCAGACCCCTGATTGGAAGACCCCCTTCTGCCCCCACCCAGGACCCAAGCAGGTCATGGGAATGGGTGGGCCCCAGGCTGTGGGCAGTGGCCAGACAGGGGGCTTGGGCTGGTTTGCAGCCTAGGTTCTCTGGTCACCATGTGGCTGGAGTGAGCACAGCCTGGGGTTTTTGCGAGCGACCCCGCCTTCTAGAGCCTGATGGCTGAGCCCCCAGGAGTCTGGTCAGGGGACCTGCCAGTCCTGGTGGGGCCGCTGAACTGCCTGGGGGGGCGGGGGCGAGTCCACGGGGGGCGCTCAGCTTCCCCATCTCTCAGGGTGGGGTTGGTCGTCCTGGCACCAGAGCACAAGGACTGGGTCACAGTGGTAAAGTACGTTCTGGAGAAGAGAGGAAGAAACCAGCAACGATCTAGCATTTCGATGATAAGAAACGGCTCTGTCGCATGTCCTGAAACTGCGTGGGATCTGCCCGGAGAGGGAGGAAGCCCTCGTTGCCTGGGCTTGCTCTGTGCCAGGCGCGGGCTCTGTCTGCGCCGCTTGCCTGGTAGGTGTCTGGCAGCTGACATTCGCGGGGAGGAACTTGGGGACCAGAGAGGCCAAACGGCCTGTTGCCGCCACTCTGCAGGCTGTGCGAGGGCACAAACCCGGGTCTTTCCCACCAGAGCGCAAGGGCTTTTTCTCCTCCTGTGAGGATGACGACAGAGATTTAGGGATCCTAAAGAAACGTTTATTTGTCATAAAAGACGAGGTTCCACAAAGATTACGGGAGCACAGATCTGGCTGATGACAGGCTCCGCTGCGTGCAGGGGTGGGGGGGGCCGAGGCTGCTTGGCACAGGGCAGCTGTTCCTTTAAGTCGGGTTCCCCGTGGCAATTGCCGCAGCCTGGGGTGGGGGTGTGGGCTGCTGGCCAAGGGTGGTGCCAGCCTGCGGAGCTCCCTCCAGAGCCTGTCTGTCTGCTCCCAGCCCAGATGCTGTGACGCTGCCTCTCGCCTCTCAAAGGGCTTTCCTTCCCCCCCGAAGCTGCTGATTCATGCGCTGCGGTCGGCTGGGCTGTGGGGCCGGGGGCCGGGGCCAGGGCTCTTGGGCTCTGCTGGATGGAGGCACTGGGCCTGGTGGGAGGTGTCCTTGAGCCCCTGTCCCCTGGCTGGGAGCGGGGGAGTTGGGGTGGTGGTGAGGGAGCAGGGGGCTCTGGACATCACAGACCAGAAATGTAGGTTGGGGGTTGGGAGAGGGGAGGAGGGGAGACAGGGCTTGGCCAAGGTCACATGCAAGGGCCAGGCTGACCCGTCCTCTCTCACTGTTCTTCGCCGCCCTCGGCAGGGTGCTTCCAGGACGACCGCATCGTCTTCTGGACTTGGATGTTCTCTACCTACTTCATGGAGAAATGGGCACCGCGGCAGGACGACATGCTTTTCTACGTGCGCCGGAAGCCGGCGTACCCAGGCAGCGAGGGCAGTGTGGACGGGAGGAAGGTGAGCGGCCCCTCCGGTCCCAGCCAATCATCCTTGCGGGGTCTGCCCGAAGCCGCCGGGGTGGGCTTCCCTGCAGACCTCGAGTGGGTCCTAAGGGGGAAACGCAGTTGACTGAGCACCTACAGGGAGCCAGGAGCTGCGTGAAGTTGGGGGTGGGGCGTGGCTGTTCCCGCCGCCCTTCACCAGGACCCTGAGAGGCAGTGATGACATCACTGTTGTCCCTTTGAGGGGACAGGTTTAGAGGCGAGGTGGTTTGACCAGCATACAATTAAGTCAGTCAACAGGAGAGCAAAGATTTGAACCCAGAGTCTAGGGTCCTCCCTGGCCAGGGGCAGGCTGAGCGGCCTCGAAGATGACGAGGAGGCCCGGCGGTTCTGAGCCCTTGCCATGCAGCAGACGCCGTGCTCGGCTCTTTCCTTCTCGAAGCTCTTACGTCCTCCCTGCAACTCAGCGAGGCAGGTGGGGAGCCCAGGGCCTCGGGGCAAAGGGGCTCGGCTGAGCCGTTTCATCTACCACATTTAAGCATGTGGAGGAATGAATAAAACAGCCTTCATGTGTTCCCTTCTGTTTTTCAGAAACGCTACTAGCTTCTAGAATGTGTAAGCACCTTATGTCAAACAGGGGAATGCACTGTTTTCCTTTAATCACAAAAACGGGAGGGCGAGGGAGGCTGATCTGGAACTCAGAGCCACTGTGGCTCCAAGTCCAGAGCCCTCTGATCCCTGGGCCGCGGCTTGGGAGCTGCAGCCCATGTGTCAAGTGTTGGAGCTTGTCCCTGCTTGTCCCTCTTTGTGGAGCTTGACACACAGGGCCTGGGAGTTCTGCATGTGGATAGGCCTGGTGCCTTCTGCAGAGGAGACACGGTGGCTTGCGTGCTAACCGCAGAGAGCTGGTCTGGCTGGCCTGTGGGACATGCAGGAAGGCCCAGGGTTGTCCTGGGTCCTGGGGTGTTTGCATGGTGTGCCAGCCGCCAGCTTCAGGGCCGGGCCTTGGCCCTGGGACCCAGGAGCGTGTCATAGAGCCGGTACCAAAGGGTAAACCCAGTGACTGGAAGGGACAGAAATGGTCAGCAGAGGCCACATGGGTGAGGTGAGCCTTCAGGAAGGAAAGAGCTTTCCTAGGCGAAGGGACAGTAGCCCCAGTCATGGGCCTGAAGCTTGTCAAAGCCCCTTCGTTCGGGTGACCAGTGCTGGTACCACGTGGCCCCGTGTAGAAAGGTGGGAGCAGAGACGGGTGGGCACGGGCCAGATCACGTGGACGCTAAAGGCCATGCCTCGGAGTCTGGGTCGGTCCCTGGAGCTCTGAGAAAGTGAGGAAGGCGGGATGTGGTCAGTATTCCATTTAGCGAGCTCTTGGGTGGCGGGTGGAGGAAGGACTGAGGTTGGAGCAGAAGCAAGGGAGAGGGGGTGGGGAGCAAGGGAGTGGTAGGCGGGCGGCACGAAGGCCAAGGGCATAGGCCTCACCAGCAGGGCTCCAGGTGACTGAATGGGGGCCTGAGGGAAGGCCCCACCTGACAGCCCGGTCTCTGCCCTGGGCTCAGGGTAGGTCCAGTGCTGTCAGAGGAGGACAGGGTTCGGTGTTGGACAGGCTGAGTCCTAGGCGCCTGTGAGCTAGCCAGATGGTGGTGTCTTCTGGCGGTGGGTCTCCTGTCTGAAACTCAGCAGAGACTCAGGGACAGAGGCAGGGCTCCAGGACTGATGGCTCCAAGATGATACCTGGTGCCATGGGAATGTGTGGGAAGAGGAGGGAGACTGGGAGGCGGGACAGTCACAGAGGCCTAGGACAGAGCTCTGAGCTAGCCTGACACTGGAGGGACTAGCAGGAGACCAAGTGGCAGGCCAGATGGGGTTGGCGGGAGGAGGGGGCGTGACCAGCAGGGAGGCGGGACCCGAGGAGCCAAGTCCGGCAGGACGAGAAGGGGGACAGGCCGATGGACCTGTGACCAGAGACTGGGGAGGCATGGGCAGAGCAGCCTTGGCGGTGGGCAGGGGGTGCCCTCTGGAAGGGAGGAAGAGAAGGCCCCAGTGGGTGAGACTTGGCGGGGCTAGGTCTTGGTGGAGAGTTCCATGAGCTGAGCACCCCCAGAGCCTGGCCCAGAGCTCCGCCGTCCCTGCTCTCTGTGCCTGCTCTGTCTGGGGGTGTAGTGGACAGACCGGCTTTTCCAGCTTTGTCTCCCCCGACTTGCCACTCAGCCTGGCCTGGTATGGGGGCTGGGCAGTTGCTCGGTGAGGTTAAGGTCCTTCCATTGCGCACACCTGGGAGGCCAGGTGTGTGGGGTAGTGTGATCATAGGAGTCTCCTGGCAGAGGGTGGCGAGCCCCTAGGGAGCCTCACTGCTAGGGACACCCACCGTGGGCGTGCTGTCCTCCCTCAGCTCAGCCCAGTACGTAGGCTCCTAGTGCCAGGGCTCACCTGCAGAACTGGAATGGGGACCGTTCTGCCCGAGGGCACGCAGCGAGGGTACAGCCCGTGTCCTTGGCCCCTCAGCATCTGCTGGACTTAACGTTGTAGACGTTGGGTTTTGTTTGGGTTTTGCGGGGAGCAGGGGGTTTGGTTTTCGTATTTTTTGCAAAATCTTCATCTTTTCCCAAAGGCAGCCTGCTAAGACCAGAGGCTCTAATAAGGATCAGAGACTCAGCCAGACCCTGAATTTTGGTGTGGGGAGAGGCCTCAGCTCTGGTTAGGGATGGTTTTCTCAGCCTTGAGTTCTCCAGGAGGCAGGCAGGAGAAGGGAGAGACCAGGTGAAGAGGTAGCAAGAGAAGTTCCTCTGATCCTAACTGCGTAGTTTGGGGCTGGGGTCCCCGGACCGTGTGCAGGCTTCCTGGAAGGTTTGGGGGTGTTGAGGTCCGTCAGGGGAACATGTGGCAGTCCAGCTGTTGACGTGCTAGAATGTTCCATCAAACACCGCAGTAAGCGGTAGGCAGCTGCCCCTCCCCGCAGCACTGGGAGCCCAGGAATGACTCAGACCTGGCCCTGTGCTCAGGGAGCCCGTGTCTCCTGGGGCAGACAGACAGCATCACCCGTGATCAGAGAGCACTCATTGCTGCGGTAGTGGGAGAACGGGCTGGGGGTGGGAACAGCCGGGAGCCCACACACAGAAGGCTGTGGCATCGGGCCTCAGTGTTGTAGGACAGAGAAAGGGGTCCACGGTGGCCTAAGGACATTCCCACTGGAGGGACCAGCCCATGGGGTGCTGGTGGGGGCGTGCCAGGCACACACGCGACTCGGCACCTACCCGAGGGGACCCTGTGGTGTCTGTAGTGTTTGGAGGGCAGGGCTTGGGCGGTGATGTGGGGAGACCTCGCAGGCCCGAAGAGTGCAGGGTGGGCAGGGAAGGACAAATGGGAGACTGGACAAGCCGTTCCGGCAGCCTCTCTGCCCCCACCACTCAAAAGAACAGAGCCAGGAGAGCCCAGGGCAGGCGCCTGCGCACTGTAGCCTCTCTGCGGCAAGCCAGGGCCGCCTCCCGCCCCCTCCCCAGCCTGCCGCAGAGCCGGTACCCGGTTGCCATAGCAACCTGCGGGCTTCCTGCGCTCGGCCCAGGGTGGTGGTGGTGGGCGGATGGGTGGACGGTCGCCTCCAGGCAGATCGAACAGAAGCAGTGTGGGTGGGACAGGCGGCTGGGATCCCCACGCCGAGCTGCAGGGCTCTAGGGACCACCTCGGAGGCTCCTTCTCAATGAACTTGGGGTCGCACAGCTGGAGACTGAGAAGCCAGGCGGGCGTCCGTGTCTGCCTTAGCGGCTGTCCTGGCAGTAGTCAGGGAGAGGGGCTGGGACTCATCTGTGCCCTGCACCCCTCAGCGGGCCGAGGCGGAGCCCGAGGTGGAGGTGGAGGTGTACCGGCGCGACTCCAAGAAGCTACCGGGCCTTGGAGACCCTGACATTGACTGGGAGGAGAGTGTTTGCCTGAACCTCATCCTGCAGAAGGTACACGGCGTGGTGGGGGCGGGGCTCTGGGAGGAGGGCTGTCTGGTGGGGGCGGGTCTCCAGGGGCACAGCATGGTGGGGCGGGGCTCCGGGAGGAGGGCTGTGGGGGGCTGAGGGAGAGCAGACCCCTCCACGCGTGGTGTCCTGCGTGCTCCCTTCCAGCTGGACTACATGGTCACCTGTGCCGTGTGCACGCGCGCCGATGGGGGTGACATCCACATCCATAAGAAGAAATCCCAGGTAAGCCCCAGGCCTCCTAACTGGGAGCTCAGCCCAGAAATGGCAGCCTTGTGGCTGCTTAGCATTTGGGTGGGGGAGACAACCCCTTCCCCTCCTTCCTCTTGCTCCTCTGTCTCCTCCTCCTCCTCCTCCCTTCCCTGCCTGGAGGGGCAGGTCTGACCAAAAACCTGTCCATCAGGCTTCTTGCAAAGCTGTTCCCTCTGGCTTTGGCCTGGGTCTTAGCCATGTGACCACCGGGACTTGTCCCTTGAGTGGCTGTGGACCTGGGTGCAAGGCAAGGCCTCATCAGTCCTTTAAAACCCCTCCCTTTCAGCAAGTGTTTGCGTCCCCCAGTAAACACCCCATGGACAGCAAGGGGGAGGAATCCAAGATCAGCTACCCCAACATCTTCTTCATGATCGACAGCTTCGAGGAGGTGAGCTCCTCGGGCCCAGCCACGTGTCCCCAAGGGCCCTGGTTAGGGCTGCGAGAAGCCGGCCTCCCTCCCGCCTCACAGCCCTGCAGCCCGGCAAAGGTGGTGGGCAGCGGGGGTGATCCTGACTCCTACCCCCTTCGCTCCCGCTGTTCCTGATGCTGGACTGGGGCTGGTGGGGTTCACCTCCCTCTGAGCCTGTTTTCTCATCTGTAAAATAAGTGTCATGATCGTGTGTCCATTGGGGTTGAAGATCACACGAGCTCGTGAATGGGAGAACGCGTCATAAACACCTATAAAAAGGGCTGTCTGGGCAGGAGGCGTCATTAGGATGGCCAGGACACTCCAAACCAGTGCCTCCACACTGCGGAATGCTAGGGTGTCAGAGGGGGCAGGGCTGTGGAAGCTTCTGGGCCAAGCTTCTGTGTTCAGGCTGGGAAAACTAGGACTCACGGCAGAAAGTGACTCACCCAGGCCCCACCCGGTGCCCTGCCCCTGCCCAGCTTCTGCTCTGCTGCTCTCTGCCGCCACCAAGGTCCCCATAATGGTGCCTGTACTCCCCTAGGGGCGGTCAGGACCCCAGGGAAGACTCAGGAAGAAGGGAGCCCGTGTTTCAGGGTCTCTCCTCGATGGGCTGCTGCCTTGAGGCCCCTCAGGCTTGGGGGACTAAGTGCCGTCCCCAGGCTGGCACGGCCTGTTTGTGGCAGAGCCAAGATTTGAACCAGAGTCCGTGTGACCTTGAAGTTGGGTCCATGCCCCAGGCCCTGGAGCCATGATGCCAGCGGGCGGGCAAGTGACAGGAGGTGGAGCCAGGACCCAGGCCTCGGGCTCCGTGGTGGGCAGCTGTCTCCCTTGTGCCTCGTCCCAGGTGTTCAGTGACATGACCGTGGGGGAGGGAGAGATGGTCTGCGTGGAGCTGGTGGCCAGTGACAAAACCAACCTGTTCCAAGGGGTCATCTTTCAGGGCTCCATCCGCTATGAAGCCCTCAAGAAGGTGTACGACAACCGAGTAAGTGTGAGGACGTCCCCCACCCCCGTCCCCGTTGGGCCCTCTGTCCTTGCCCAGCTCCTCAGAGCACCTACGGCCCCCGGGTCCCTCGTAGGTGGCTCAGGGCCTGCGTTCTGGTGTGTCGCTCCTCAGTCGTCTGGGCACACTGGATCAGAGGGACAGTGGCCCCACCCTGCGTGCAAACACTCCCGAAACAGAACCTGGCTGGTGGGGCAGGGGTGGAATGCAGGTGGACGGGCCTCTCCCCTGCAGCTGGTCCCCCCAGGGAAGGCGTGGGGGTAGTCTCGGGCTCCCCAGGGGTTGGCTGTGTGCCCAGCCTGGTGCTTGGCCTGCTGCGAGGCATGGGTCGTCGGGTGGTGGGAGGAGCATCTGCCCGACCCCCAAGCATTCCTGCACTACCCTGCCTGCTGGGGGGCCCCCGGCCCCCAGAGGAAAGTGGGTAGCCCTCAGGGGCCGCTCTTTGGGGGATGGTCATCCTCATGACTCCGTGTCCCCAGGAAGAAGCCACCCCTATGGGCGCTGACTCGGGCCATCTCCCCATGTCTGCAGGTGAGCGTGGCTGCCCGGATGGCACAGAAGATGTCGTTCGGCTTCTATAAGTACAACAACATGGAGTTCGTCCGCATGAAGGGGCCACAGGGCAAGGGCCACGCGGAGATGGCCGTCAGCCGCGTGTCTACTGGGGACACGTCCCCCTGCGGGACTGAAGAGGATTCCAGCCCGGCCTCACCCATGCACGAGCGGGTAAGGGCTGCACAGCTCGGGGAAGGGCCCTCCGTCCCTCGGATCCGCTTCCCAACGCCTCCCTGATCTTTAAAGTCCCCCGGTGAGGTAGGTGTCATCACCCCACCCTCAGGGGAGCAGGCCAAATGCAGAGAGGGCAGTGGCTTGCCCAAGGTCACCCAGCAGTTCAGGGCGTGGTCTCTGCTTCCCTCAGCTGCTGCTGCAGCTGGGCCCAGCTGAAGGGACCCCCAGGCTGGTCCCGGCCCCTGCCTCACCGGGCCCTGCTGGCCGAGCGTGCGCCCACAACCGGCCTGCCCTGGGGAGTGCCCTGGGGTGCGGATGAGCCAGCGCCCGCGCTTGCCCCGTGAGGCTCGGGGGGAAGGGGAACAGGGTCCGGAGCTGCCCAGCTCTTCCCTCTGCCCGGCCCCCTGTTCACGAGGTGTCGTGCACCTTCAAGTGCTGGGGGTCCCCGCAGCAGCCCCGTGGGTAGACATGGAGACTCGGGCTTGCTGGATGGACTGGTGCCAACCTAGGTCCCACGGCTCTTGTGTGATAGCACCGAGCCCTTGAGCCCTACTCTTTCTAGGACACCATCCTTCCCCAGGGGTGGGAAGCCGAGGTCAGTGGCAGCTTTGTTCCCCGGGGCCCCAGTGGGGTCAGGGCTAGGGCAGGAGAAAGTCTCGAGCCCCTTGGCTGCTCTAGCCTGCTCAGAGCCGTAGGTCTCCGAAGGGACAGGTGGGCGGGGGGGCGGGCGGCGGTCCGGGGAGCAGCCTTGGCCAGTCTGTCTACAGGAAGGGACTTCGGGGTGAAACTGCGTGGGCTGGAGTCTGGGCGCTGCCGCCCCAGTGACCTGGGGCAGGTCTCGGCCTGTTTTCTCGTCCAGAAACGGGGAGCACTGGTGTTGGGAGGCTCGGGGAGCTGTAACACAGTCAGCAGCTGACGCGGGCGGGACCCTGGGGTGCTTCCCTAGCCACTGGCTCCCCTTGGCTGTTGACCCGCTGCGGGAGGTGACGGAGGGCGTGAAGCGCGCCGCCCTGCTGACTGCCCAGGACGAGCAAGCGTGTGTTTGCTAGACTTTCCGTTCTGTAAAACTGTTAGCCGTGCCCATCTCCAGGTAGTCCCACAGCACGTTTCTTCCTCTTCTTTATGTCCTTTCCTGGTTTTTTTCTTCTGCAACGACTGTGGTTGGAAAGCCGAATAAAAACAACCCGGGCTGGTTTCCGCAAAGACGTGGGTGAGGGTTCCGGGCGGGCGACCTCCCTCATCTTGCAAGTGGAGGCTGTCGATACATTTCTGAGCTGATTTGGGAGAAATGGAGTCTGATTCTACTCCCTGGTCCTAAGTTGCCCACCGAGGCCCTGCAGAATGTAGAAATCCTGTGGCCTGAGCTCTGGGCTGGGTCGGCCTGGGTGCCACTTCTGGCCACACGTTTGCTGAACAACCACAGATACGGTTCCACACCTGCTGAGCCTGGCTCTTCCCACACACCAAATGGAAGTGATACTTGCTCCCTCCCAGGGTGGCAGTTGGGGGTGAAGGCCATGGTGCCTGGCTCAGGGTAACGGGAGGCCCAGGGTCAAGGGAGGGGACCTGCCAGGGTCATGCAGCTGCGAGTGGCAGGGCCTGACCTCCTGGGGGCTGCTTAGGCCCCCACCACCTCTGTGCTTACTGTCGTGTGTCCCCCTTTTCCAGAGGGGTCCTTTGTAACCAGCTCATGACAAATGCAGACTCTGTGTGTATTGTGGTTTCTGGTGTTTTGTTTTTTTTCTATCTTTGGAAAACCTTCCCTGGCTTATGGGAGGACCGTCTGGAGCCCAGCGGCCGCCGGGACTTTGGTGGATGTCGGAAGCCGTGACGAGGAGGCTGATGGGGCTTCCTGAAGTCTCAGTCCCAGCTCACCTTGCTCCTCAGATTCTTGTTTGCATGGGGAGGAGGGAGGAGATGGGCCAAGTTCCCTCTGCCTGGAACGCCCTTCCCCCCCTTCTTCACCTGGCGAACTCCTACTCGTCCTTCAAGACCCATCTCGAGCAGCGTCTCCTCCAGGAAGCCTTTCCTGATTTCCCAGGCTGTGGACCCCTTTTGCTCGGTGCTCCCCTGTATCCTGTGCTTCCCTTTCTCTGTCTCAGCAAGCAGCCTTCAGTTTGTGGTTGTCACTTTCCGAGTCTGTCACCCCTCACCAGACTGTGAGCTCCTTGAGGGCAGGGAGCAGTGTTGTGTGCCTGTCTGTCTCCTGTGCTGCCCCTGCCTGACCTTGTGCGGCTCTACAAAACGTTTGCTCAACAGTGTGGTTACAAGATGAGGGGATGGAAGCCTGGGCCGCTTTGCGATTGCCCTCCATGAGAGGGTACTGGGGCTGAGAGGGATGGGGTGGGGGGCATCTTAGCCAAGGGGAAGGAATTGGGGTAAAGAGTATGGCCTTAGGAGGCAGAAGACCTGGGCTGAATCCTGGTTTTGCCCCTGTCCTGCTGGGTGACCTTGGGCAGGTCAAGGTCGCTGTCCCACCTTCGTTTCCTCACTCGTCCGAGGAGCTTCCTACCGATTCCCGTCTGGCGGGTCAGCTGGGAGGCTTCCGTGGGAGGGCTTGCGCGGGCTCAGCAGCTGGTCTGGCTTTGGGCCGGCCGCTGTTGGGGCCCGCGGAGGGCACCCGGCTCGTGCTCAGCCCAGGGAGGCTGGCCCACCGGCAGGTGGTGTCAGGGGCCCCAGCGGTGGTGGGGCTGCACCAGTGACGAGGGCTCGTTATCTCCAGGTGACCTCCTTCAGCACGCCCCCTACCCCAGAGCGGAACAACCGGCCCGCTTTCTTCTCCCCGTCCCTCAAGAGGAAGGTGCCCCGGAACCGGATCGCGGAGATGAAGAAGTCTCACTCGGCCAACGACAGCGAGGAGTTCTTCCGCGAGGACAACGGCGGGGGTGAGCGCCTTGCTTATGACCAAGGGCCTGCTGCGGCCCTCCCGGGCCCTCTGTGTTCACCCGTGCGTTCACGTCTTGGGGGCTGGTGGGTGCCAGGGGCCTCTCAGGGCTGGGGATGGAGCTGCAGACGGACAGACAGAAATCCCTGCCTCAAGGAGCTCCCGATCTGGGGTCAGAATAGGGGGCAGGACAGGAGGCTTGAGACTTTCCCCGATGTTGATTGACTGCTCCACACAGAGGGTTCTAGAAGCCGGTGCCTAGTGAGATGAGCTCTCGGGCTCATTCCTGCCTTTGTGCCATCAGCCTCCTGCTTTGGGTCCTCCTCAGTGCCCTCCCTCCCTCCAGAATGTGCCTTGGGGCATCCCCCAGGCTCACCCCACCCTCTGGTGGCCTCCAGAGCGTCTCTGCCTGAAGCCCGTGGGGGTCCCTGCAACCCACAAGCCAGTGAGAGTGGGGCTAACCCTCATCTAAGCAGCAGGAAGCCACTAGAGGGTTTAAGCAGGGGAGTGACAGGATCAGATTCGCTACTGAAATCCTGCTCAGCCGTCCCTGTGGAGAAGGACTGTAGGAGGGCAGGCTGCCGCCAGAGACAAGGTGTGGCGCCCTGTGTGTGTGCTGGGCACTGAGGGGGTGGCCGACAGCACAGGGCGGCCCCTGGCCAGAGCTGGGGCTGTGACCTTGAACGGAAGAGACACTGGTCCTTATTCGGAGCACTGGGGCCCAGAGACAGACGGCCCTGGCCTTGACCTGCTCTAGGGTGCACTTGGGCATGTGCTGTCCCCACCTCGGCTCCTTTCCCAATGAGGAGGGAAGGACTGATAACCACCCGGCCTGCCTCCCTGGGTGACCCAGAAGATGGCTCCTCCCAGCCTTGCCCTGGGCACTGCAGACTAGTGGTGCCGTGTTGCAGTGATGGACGGGGTCACAGGGAAGCAGAGAAATGACACCATGAGGCGACAAGCCAGAACCCACAGGAGAGCCTCCAGGGCAGGGGAGGGGAGGGGAGGGCTGGATAGGGATGGGGGAGTCTGGGGTCCCAGACTAGGGCTGCAGCTCTAGGGCAGGTGTGGGCCGTGGAGGGGCCGGTGGCACAGGGCCCAGGCTGCGGCAGAGCAGGTTCCTGGGGTGGGAGGTGCTCTCCTGGTCCTGCGACGGGGGCTTGTGGCCTGGGCCCTGACGCGGCCCTCTCCCCACTAGCTGATCTGCATAATGCCACCAACCTGCGGTCTCGGTCCCTGTCCGGCACGGGGCGGTCCCTGGTTGGGTCCTGGCTGAAGCTGAACAGAGCGGATGGCAATTTCCTTCTCTATGCACATTTGACCTACGTCACTTTGCCGCTACATCGGATTTTAACAGGTAGCGTGGGCTGCAGCAGAAAACCCTCGCTCTCTGGGGCGGGGGGTGGAGGGGGTGTCGGAAACCCTGACCCCCCGTTTCATGCCTGGGACCCGCCAGTGAGTGTCTGCGTCGGGTCCCTCCCGTCCCCCCTTGAGTGGCTGCAAAGCCCCAGGGCGGGGGTGGTGTGGCTGGCTTGGGGGCAGGTGAGGCGGAGCTCTGGGGGCCTCACTGACCGGGACCCACACTTCCTTGTCTTGTCCGCCCGCCCCCGCCGTCCTAGACATCCTGGAAGTTCGGCAGAAGCCCATCCTGATGACCTAGCTGTGTGCAGAGCCTGCGCAGAGCCCCCCAGCCCTGCCCGGCCCTGGGGGTGCCGCCAAGTGCCTACCTGTCCACCGCCACCGGGGTCTTCTGTGACAGCCCAGCGCCGGAGCCGGAGCCAGGCGGGGCCGCTCGCCTCCTGGGGCCAGGGCCGACTCCACGAACACCAGCCCAAACTGAAGTGCCTCTTTCTCCCCCCGCCGGCTCGGCTCCTGCACCCCCGTGCCCGCCCGCCCACCCCCCTCCACCCCCGGCCCATCTCTGCAGCGCCCTCTGCACCCCGAGAGGCCCAGAGATGCCAAGAGGCTGTGAGAGAGCAGAGGAGCGGCCGGCGGCCGGAGCGTGTCCGGACCGACCGACCGACGTCTGCGCGCAGACCGCAGGTGGACAGGCCGCCCAGCTGGGGGCCCCCGAGTGTCTGCGCCTCCCCGAGAACTGGCTCACGGTTCCGTCCTGTTGTACCCATGGACTTCCGCGTCTGAGTTAGGCCCAACTTGTCCGCCCTCCCTTGTTTACTGCTTGGTTACACATGGGTTGCCTCGGGGAGATGGGGCGTCTGAGGGTTTTGCCCTGGGCTGGGAATACCTCACCCCACGCCCGGTTCCAGAAAGGCCCCGGTCCTGCCGGAATGGCCTTTGCTTCCAGCCAAAGAGCACCGCCAGCGCACACCCTCCGCCTTGGAGACACCCGCTCTGCGCCTCGGCTGGCGTGACCCACAGAATTTGGACTCTGAGAGCAGGTGGGACAGCCTGGTAGTCGGACAGGAGAGGAGTGTTGGGGGTGGGTGTTGGCCTCCTCCCAGGAAGGTTCTAGGTAGAACGTCCATCCCGGGGGCCGGGGAGGGGATAGGGTGTTTTCCTGGAGCTTGCTTTGATGGCGTGCACTGGTCCTGTTTCTCAGACCAGCTCACTGAGGCCAAGAGGAGTTGACCTCCAGGCGGCTGGTCCAGTGGGTTTGTGCGAGCGGCCTTGTTGGCGCTGGAGGGATTCCCACCTGTGATGGATGACACGTGGTGCTCTCAGAACCACGAGCCCTCTCGAGCGGAAGCGTCCCCCTGCCCCATTGGGAATAAACTGTCAGCTGGGTCTCTGTTGCGATGTTGTTTTGTTTGGAGTCCCCAGGAATATCGGAGGGTTTGCTGTTGTGCACGGAGATCCTCTCTGCGAGGGGCTCCTTCTCCCATCCGTTCTCTTCTGCGCGCTCCAAGGGTTTGCGCTGGGCTCTGGGAACAGGGGCTACCTTGGGGCTTTCTCTAGATTTTATATGCTGTTATTAAAGCAAGCTGTTGCATTTCATTCTGCCTCAGTTGGCCCACCTGTAAAATGGGGCTGATACCACCTACCTCATGAAGCGTCCAGGGTTCTGGTGCACGACTGGGTCAGGCAGCCTTCTTGCAGAGCTCGGGTCCGGGCAGACTCTCGGATGCTTCCCTCGCCCATCCTCCATGTGGTGGGGCTGGGCTGGAACATTCTCGTCTTCTGTGGCAGTGCCCAGCCCCCGCTTCGCCGAATCCCAGCTGCCTGCACAATTTCACGTTCCAGAGCAGTGTTTCAGGACAGCACAGAGTCGGGCCTCGCTGCCACGTGCTGGGGCGGAGCCTCCGATCCCTGAGCGCGGCCCCCAGTTGCAGAAGTGTTCTCCAGGGGAGCCAAATGCTGCCGCCACGCTTGTGTCCAGGGAGGCTAAGTTACAGCTTCAGGAATTCTCTCTCCCTGGTCGTCCGGGGTCTGAAGGCTCTGGAACTCAGGTGTTGGGGGAAATACGGCCCTGGTGTATCTTCCACGGAAGGATGAGGTAGTGGAACAAACGCGGGAGGACGGCGGCCCTCCCTCTGCTCTCAGGATCCTCCCACTGGAACCCAACCCTGAGGCTCAGCCACCCGCTGCTGGCGGGGCCGCGGGCACGTCCGACGCCCCCTCTGTAAAGTGACAGACGCACATCACAGGTCACCCGAGGGCCATTTGCAGTCATGCATGCAAGGCTTCGCTGGTCGTAGAGACGGGCACCACAGTGGCGTTCCAGAGATGACCCCTCGTTTGTAACGTGCCAGCGGCGCACATGGCGGCTTGGCTGTTTCCCTCCCACACCGGGGCAGCGCTCACACACACGGGCTCGATCGTCATCCCCCGCCTCAGGCCCGGCCAACGGCCCACCCAGGCGTCCGCGACACCGTTGCGCTGCGACAGACAGGCGCGTGCGGGCGGCGGCGTCTGCCCTCCGCCCTTTCCCTCTTCCGGAGGTTACGTCTGAAACTGAATTTTAATCACGCTTTTTTGAGAGGCACTTGGTCACTCCACTAGGCAGTAAGCTGTCACCCTGAGGTTCTTTTCAAAGTGACAAAGGACATCAGTGACAGAGTAATACATAACAAGTAATGGGGCCAGCCAAGCCCAGCCCCCCAGTGTCCTGGCGTGTCCGGCTGTCACTTCTCGTAAGGCCATCTTTCATGTTTCTGGAAACACGCCTGTCTCTTGTGTAACGCGGGAATGACCAAACCACGCACACATTTCTTTAGTGGGAACTGGAATCAAAGTGTGGTTTTTCTGTGAAGGCACCGCGGTGTCACTTTTTAGGACACGAATAAGAGAGCAAGCTCTCCTTTTATAAGAAATGTCATGGTCCTGGCATCTTGATGGGCGGCCTGTGGCCTCTCGTCCACCTTCCAGTGCCCGCAGGCCGAGGGGGCATTTGGTCTCACACGCCGATGTCTTCCAGGAGCTTCCAGTTGCTTGTAGAGGTAGCCAAGGCTCAGCGTCTCAGAAAAATCTTATTTAAAATGTAAGCGACAGGGAAGTCGTCCACAGAGAACAAAATCTTCCAGAGCCCAGTCGCCTTGCGGATGGCTAGATTTTCCGAGTCCCGGTCCCAGGAACGTGGACTCTTCAAGGACGGTGCACACGTGAGCCGGTCGGGTTTCTGTCCTCCGCGGAGCCCTGGCAGCTCGCGACGCGACGCCAGCCCGGTGGGACTGCTCTTCCAAGAATCCAGCTAGAAGGAAACCGGGAGCTGCTGCTGCTGTTGGAATCACAGACCATCTGGACAGCAGACTCCAAAAGTGAAGTAAAAACTTGTTTTTTCCCCATCAGAAGACATTCCCGAAGGCAGGCCCCGTGCGGTTGGCAAATTCTAGTGACTTGACTTGAAGAACACATCTGATGCTGTCCCAACAGGGAGGCTCGAAGTCGTTGGCCGAGAACCTTCAAAGATGTCACGTGTGAAAAAGCTGCCAGCGTTGCCGTGAGCCTCAAGAGGTCTCTGGCAAGTGACTGCGCTAGAACGGAGTTTCCTGTCTGGTCTCGAACATCGAGCGTCTGTTGGCATGATGGGGATTCTCCCTGTTCGGGCTTCTTCTCACCTTTGGATCAGAAAGCAGGTTTCTCTTAAAACACCTCAGGCTCCGGGAGGGCAACAAGCCTGTGCCGGCTGCCACCAGGCCCCCTGAGCAGGAGCGGAAGCGGGAGGCCCTCCAGGGTCCCATGGCCAGGGTCCCGCGGCCTCTGGGGGGGTTGAGCCCTCGAGGCGGTTTGGGGGGTGGTGCACTCGAGGCTGCTCTCCTCTGTTCCTTTCCACTGGCTGATGTGGCGTGGACATGGTCCTCGGTGGGAGGAGAAATCCTCCGACCCTTTCTCTGAGCCTGTCTCAGAATAGTCTGGAGAACTAGGACACCCGCCCGCAGAAGCCAAGTCACCCGGACACCAAGCGGCCCGGCCGGCCGTGGGTTCAGATCCCCACCGCGGGGAGAGTTTGTGTTTACAGTTTTTCTACCATCCCCAAGACAAGCAGGCACCTTGATTTTTCGCGGCCCGGAGCTCAGGAGACCAGAGGTCACGGCCGAGCGGCTGGGGGCGTTCCCTCTTTCTCGAAGGCCGGGCGGGTTAGGTGTTCACAGCGCGCACTCACGGTCCCCAAGCAAACTCTCTCCCTGTGAGAAGAAGCAAAACCTGCAATTTTTCACGACTTTGAGGCTTAACTGAAATGATTTCTACAAAATATATTTTGGCAAAAGCACCAGAATGGTGTAATCAAACATGTTAGGATCTCGTGGTCAGTGGTATTTCCATAAACGAGCAGCTTCCCGTTCACCATCTTCCGCGTACAGAAACCATCTCTGGGCGGCATTTGGATGGCTGTGAGCTGTTCATGTTTTTGCGTTTCTGTGCAAAGTTGATTTGCATGTTGGATATTAAATTTGTTTTTCCTCAGCGTTTTCCTCCGATGAATCTGTACTTGGTTGTTTTTTCTTTCTTTAACGGGTATTTCAGATCAAATACAGACGTTACGGCAACGCATAAACTTAGTGACTGAAACTTAATTTGCCCCCAAAGATTTCTTCTTCGAGCGTTTTTGGAGCTTTCACATGAGTTCGTTTCTAGAAATGCCTGGAGATGGACAGAAACCAGCCCGGGCCGTGGCTCTGGCCACGCTGGGTCAGCACGGGGTCAGGGCACCCGCGGACAGGGTTCGGCTCCAGGCAGTATTTGCAAAATCCAAACACAAGATACGCGTTTCAAGTTTAGCTCCCAGTCCCCACAAGGCAGTAGCTTTTTCTGGAGTACCTCTTAAAAAGGCCTCGTGCCATGGTAGAATGCCTGGGATCAGAGTCAGGAGTCCCTCCCGACAGGCCGCCCGGCGGGCACGCTGTTGCACGTTTCTGGAGCGGACTCCGCCTACCAGAGGCTGACGGGGCTCGGCGGCGGTGGGCTCACTCGCCCCGGGAGCAGACAAACTAAGTTGTGTCTCAGGTGATGGGCAGGCGTCAGGCCTCCGCCACGGCGAGAAGTTACATGAGAGGAAGTGAGAGCACAGAAGGGGGGTCTGAGAGGAACATGTACGCAAATCTAGAAATACAGTGCGAACCGTCACATCGAGGATGTCTCTTGCAAACATCCATTGCGTTAGAAACCTCCGAACCGGGAGAATTTTCTGAGGCAGCTTCGCGGAGGGCAGATTGCATGCGCGGCCATCAAGCAGGCAGGCTGGTAGTGAAACATGGTCTTCGTTGCCATCCAGGTCAAACCCCCTTCTCATTAAAAAGGTAGGAGGAGGCCCCTCTAAAACAGTCGCCTGAAAACTATTTAACAGCTCTTCCTGGAGAGAGCTGCACCAGAACCTCGTCCTGGGGGCTGCCGCCTCCTCGAGGCTAACGCTGCTGCCTCTGTCTTTCTAGTCCACCCTCGAGGAACGTCTAGGAACTACCGTCATGGCCTAGCTTTAGAAATACATGTTGGCTGGAAGGGAAAACCTTTGGGAATTTTCTATCGGGAGGAGGGGAAAATGTAAAATAAATTAATCCGTGCACTATGCTAGTTCATTGTATGTACACATGCTTAACAGATAAGCCTGCTGTGCTTCGTGATTGTTAAAATGACCGGGACAACTGGGAAACTTATGTGCGAAGGGAAAACGTTTGTTTTGGGGGATGACAAAACAAGACTTCCTTTCTTATGCTCACAGCTGACTTGGCCTCTACCTAAGCCAACCGGTTTGACAAGATTATTTCTTTTCCTGTGTGTGGATTAAGGGTCTTTCATCTTGGAGTCTGACTTTAATAAAACAATTAGATTGCTCAGTTTGAAAGAACCGTGGCTTTTAGTGAACTTTAATATTTCAAATAAACAATTTTGCTCTGAAGATTTTAGACCATTCTGGAAGCCAGGCAAGTTTAGTCCTTTAATGGGCGTGTACGCACACCTTCGAGGGGCACGAGTGGCACGCTGGGCACAGTCCACGTGGGTCTGCAGCTCCCCCGGGCACGTGGGACTCAGGCCTGGGTTTTCCCAGCCTTACCTCCTCCCTTCCTGGGTGCAGAGGTGGAGGGGAGACATGTGCCGAGGCTGGCACCGTTGTCCCCTACTGGAATGCGCCAGAAGGGCATCACAGCAGAGCAGGGACATAGCCTGTGAGGGGTGGGGCTGTTCTCAGACTTGAGCCTGTGTCAGAACCGTCTGTTGAAACTCATTCGCCCAGGAATGAACATATTCTGGAATTAATGGTGATGTTTGCCCAGTTCTGTGACTATACCAACAAGGACTGAACCCTACACTTTAAAAGTGTGAATTTCCCAATAAAAAAAAACAAAAACCACGCTGTTCCCGCCCCCCCCCCCAAGTCTGCATTTCTGGCAAGTTCCAAGGTGTGGCCACTGCCGCTGCCAGCTCCACACTTGGAGAACCCTGTTCTCAGCGGCCCATCCGCTGAGTGCCTACAAGGGACCGGTGCATTTTGAGGACAAGCACCCTCTCCTGTCACTTAGTTCCCACGGGACGTTCCTGGTTCGGGACTACTGATTCGATGAGTAAGTCTGTCTCCACAGTACCTTACTAGGACACATGTCTGAGCCACTCAGCACTTGACTCCAAAATCGTATTGCAACTGTATTATAGTTGAGTCTGTTAATGCCTTAATAGCGATTTTCTGGATCACTGAAAATTTAAAGCTCTAGAATTACAGTGTGTTTTTTCCTTGATCGTCTTCATCTTTACAGTTTTAAAATACCCTTAGGAGGGTTCACAGATTTTTGACTGAGACAGGCCTGGACACAGATCCCAAACCCATGTGTGTACCGTAAGAAACGCACTCACCCGCCCCAGCGCCGAGCTCTGGGAAGTGACCCATGGAGCCCGTCCGGCAGTCTGCCCTGACGGCCAAAGGAGCGCTCGGCATCTGGCGCAGTGCTCCGGTCGGGGGCCCGTGATGCAGCTACCCTGCCCATTCTCATTTGTAAGGATGTGAATCCCACACGACAGACCCTCGAGTGGCTCCAAACGGGATGCCGGCGCGGGCAGGGGCTGAGAGGAAGCAGAGCCTCCGCTGCCTGGGGATTTCTGCGCCGTCCCACTCCCTCCGGCCCACAGGACTTGTATTGACATGAGGAACATAAAAGTGTCAAACACTGATTTTGTTACTTTCCATTTATTCACATTCCATGGATTATTACACTTCCTCGAAAACTAATACAAACTGAGATTACATTGTCTGACAATTCAAGTATTTTAGTTTTAGAAAACAGTTTCCTATGTAAAACAGAAAGCAAACAACTTATCTGATTGCTAAGAAGTCTTACATCTGTTACGATCGCGTCTGTGTCAAGCAGAGTCCAGGGTCCCAACCATGACTGCCTCTGGCCAAGAACGTTCCCCCGTGCTCAGTGCGGGACTGGACAGGCTCTTTGCGGTCCCCCGTCAGCACCGCGGGACTCACCGGTTTCTACCACAGATTCTCACTTCCAGAATGAGAACGAACACCCAGGGGTTTGGGAGGGAGCCACTGCGTTTGCAAATCCTTCAAAATGCACTGTGCTTGCATTCTGACTTCAGAAATCAAGGAACAGACAGCTGTTCAAAAGACATGTTTAACTTTAAAATGAAACCAAAAAGGCTTTCTCAGTGATAACTTGTTCTGCACTCAGAGAGTAAGATGGCAATTTTTTTCCCTCTACCCCAGAACAGGTAGATTCTTTTTGGCATGCAGCATATCAAAAATATGATTCAGAACTGAAATTGTAAAACTATAATCCTTTTCAAGAAAATCCATACATGGTCAGACATAATCAAAACTGCTTTAAAAACTGGACACACACCTCCAGCCTGTAATTCTAAACACGAGGACAACACAACGCTCATTTTTTTGCTTACTGGGGAACTCTCAAAAGGACGCACACCAGTTAAAAAGGCCACTGGGACACTCGGTATTTGTCAAGATGCAACACAACTGATTTCAGATTAAAGGTTAAAAACCCCTCCCTTCAGGCCACATAGATGGTATAGGTCATAGATCCTCTAACTAAATACAAAAATTTCAGTCAGCGTTAAACATTTGAAAGCCTAATTTCTAATGTTTTTGTTAAAAAATAAATCTAACTAAACCCGTGGGGTGGAATTTAGCTACTAATACAGCAAGGGAAAGAAGACCTGCCCTCTGGGGGCCAAAGGGGCCTCTTCCCCCAAGTAACATACAAATATTTAGGTTTTACAGGAAAATCCGCACACACTCAGGCTCTTTTGCATGAATACACAATTCGAGACCAGCAAGTTCCTAAAGGGGAAGCGACATGAAGGAAATACCGTGTGGGGACCACACATGTGTCACACCTGTCCCTGTAATTGTCCCTTTAACAGTGAGTCTTAGCAGCAACAATTTGCTGGGAATGTCAGGAGAAGAGAAAGCCACACACACCCACTAACGCAAAAAAGATGATCAACTCTTTTTCCTGGGTGGGGGTGAAAGGTGACCCAATCCTGATACCATCGGGCCACGTTTGGGAAACGTCTCACTGGCCACGCAGAGGCTGTCGCCAGTGTGGTGCCCCCTGAAAGTGCCCGAGCGGCCTCGCAGCTCCGGGGACCACGGTTGGGCCGCACAGGACAGAAATCTGTGCCCTGCATCTCCTCAACCTCTAGCAGCTGGATAACCTCACTCAAGGCCGGGTGGGCCACGGCCGCTGGACCAGCACCGACCACCACGTCCTAGAACTCACTTGTAACGAACACTCAGGAGTATTCTCGATTCTACAAAGGAAATGAAAAAAACGACTGCCACTCCCTCCCTAGCTGTCCCGACGTGAGAGCCTGACCACAGCCCCCACGCGCACGCACGCCTCGCTGCGTCTGTGCAGAGGCACACACGGGACCAGAGTCTTTCACCGGAATCCGAAAACCTCATGGTCAGCGGGCGGCCGGCGGCCACACGTCAGGTGTCACACCTGAGTTAACGTACTGGATCATAAAAATGGTTCCCTTGCCCCCTTTATAAATCTCTAAAAACTATAGCTTCTTTAAAAAAGCAACTGTACTATTTACAACTATTTCTACAGTTTTCTAAGTCAGAAGACATGACGTACTGAAGATCGGAACGTACGAGTGTGAGCCCTCAGGCACGGCCCCTGAGCCTTGAAACGCAGTCATGTGGTACCAGCATTCAATGACTAACGAGGAATGAGAGTGGATGTTTAAACATGAAAACCTGCATCCAATTCACGTGCCCAGGATCTTCCAAGAACACTAGGATCCATTCCCGGACAGCTGTGGGGAAGGGCCATGACCCCGCTGGCGCAGAACCGTGGCTCCTTCCGCACGGACACACTGAGTAACTGACTTGTAAAAAAAAAAGTGGAAACTTCAGGTATCAAACGTAGAATATACCTCTGTCCGAAGTTAAAGGCCACACTGACGCGCACACTTGCAATTCCATTACCTTATGGCATGTTTCCTGGCTAACGCACAGGAGCTCCAAGGACGCCTGGGGTTCACCGCGGCACAAACAGCTGAGACGTCTTCTTTCTTCTGTACTAAGCTCTACCTTCGACTTTCATTTCTGCAAGGGTTTGGTGTCCGTGGTCCATACACTATAAGCTATCAAATTTGTGCTTTTAAACCTCATTCCTGGCAAATCCCCCTCTATTTTGTCTGCGGGGGGGTGGGGGGGAGAGCACCTCGAGAATGAAACTACAAAACCAAAGAACAAGCTACTTGTTTCTTTTTCAAATGGAAAAGCAGTTCCTCAATCAGGTAAAGCAGCCCGCACGGAGTTAAGGGGCCAAGTCTGCAAACAGAAGCTAAAGCCTTTCACGCCCAGGGGCAGCCGCCGACCCGGTTCAGCGGTTATAAAACACGGGCGCGAGAAAGCAAAGGAAAAACACCTCGGCGGTGGCGGTAGCAGCGCGCGACTCGTTTGCAAAGAGCACTGTTCTCCGGAGAGAATGCTGCCGCCAAGCTCCCTGCGGGACACGGGGGCTGTGGAAAGCCTCGCCAGCGGGAGCAGCAGACCCCAAAACCCGTGGATCGGAGCAGCCTTTGGGAAGTCTAATCGATACCCTGATTTCAGCCTATTAAGAAACCACTTGTGGTCAGTTTAATAAGTGAACATTAAAAATCTTCCAAAAAAATGTCATTCAAACGTATTTTACACATTAGACAGTTCTTAAGAAGGGAGGATACAGGTTCTTGACACTTAACATTTAAAGGTTTTATTGGCCATATTAATCTTCCTCACAAAGTTTTAAGTTACCTCTGAGTTCTCAGAATGTCAAAGTAAGAAGAGAAACAGACTACGTCTAAGGGGCGGTGGGGCGGCAGCAACTCGTGGCAACCCCAGTCCACGCGTGTTCAGGCGTCCTTGTTCTCCAGTAAAATTTTGTGCAACTCATCCGCGTCCTCGCCTGTTTTTACGCGGATCAACATGGTCACTGGGGCGGCGGCGTTCTTCTCATCGACGGGCGGGTTGGGAACACACACGATCAGGACGTTGTTCTTCCCCGTTCGGGTACACGGCATGTTGGGTGGAATTAGAACGTTCAGCAGGATGTTGCCTGCAAGTCAACAAGGGAGAAAAGGGCATGACGGTCACACAGACCAACTACTGATCCCCGAGACCACAGCCTCGGCACGCTAAACCCGGAGCACGGAAGCCCTTCTGGAACGAACAGATCTACAACTGGGAGGCGTCGGGAAGGTCGGGGGAGAAGGGCCCGGCTTCCCCGACGCAGGTGCCAGCACGGTGTCCCGCAGACAGGCCCGCGAGGCCCCACGGCGGAGACGCTGCCTCCCGCCCGTACCCCCGCACACCATCACAGCGGCCAGGCCTTCGGACAGGGGCCCGTGCTCACAGTGGAGGGAGGACGCGCTGGCTCGACCCGGAGCCTTCACGAGGTCCTTCCAACGAAGGCAGAACGGTCAGCACAGCAGCTCTCTGTGGCTCATCGGCTAAGAGCGCTACGACGGCGATGGCATCACCCACGAGTCAAGCCCACAGGAAAGAAAAAGCCGCAGAGAAGTTTCTGCAACCCAGGCCGGCAGGGCCTAGCGGTACCCACCGCTTCCTCACAGCCCAGCCCCGGCCCCCAGCCTGGGCCCCTTCCGGCGGCGGTTCTAAGCGTGAGGCTGGGGGTGCCCGCCGTGTGTTACTGGTAATTTCCTACCCAGAGCACATTCCTTTAAACGGAGGACGCCCTTCTGTGGCCCGAGACGCGAGATGCCCACCTAGATTGGTGTCTGCCCGCACCAACAGCTGCGTCTTCTGAGTGGCCGTAGGTTTTAAATGCAGGGTGCCCACACCCTTCTCTTTGAATTCGTTGTCTTTCTTGTAAAACAGCTTACACCTGCGGAGAGAAAGCAGCAGACAAGCTTCCCAGCAACCACTGCTCACACTTGTGTGCAAAGACCGGGATGAATCTTGGACTGACTCAGCCTGGGTCTGGGTAAAACCCAAGGAAGAAAATCAGGTTAGAGAGTCTAGCGCGCTTCCCTCTTCTTCCCAATTATTAAAACAGTGGGTCACGTGGAGCTTGGAAACAACTTTCTGAAGCTGCCCTCAAGTCAGCCACCACGGCAAACACGCTGCACGTCTGCCACGCTCCTCTGGCCCCGAGCTCCAGAGGCCGATCTGGTCCTTCTGGGCACGGGAACAAATACAGGACCCTTCCCCATCTCTCCTCCCCTTTTTCCTATTCATTTTTGAATTTTCTTCAGAACTCCTTCAATTTTTGTTCTATCAAAATGCTGAAATTCTGGAAATCACTTTTTTAAAAACAATTCATTTGAGAGAGACAGAGAGAGAGAGAGAAAGAGCACAAGCAGGAGGAGAGGGGGAGGGAGCAGCAGACTCCCCACTGAGAGAGGCGCCCCAATGCAGGGCTCCATCCCAGGACCCTGAGATCATGACCTGAGCCGAAGGCAGAGGCTTTACCCACTGAGCCCCCCAGCGTCCCATTAAGCAAGGGCTGACAGTACTGTCATCCAACAGCCTCCCCAGCCTGCTGTGTCACGCATCTCCTTGGGTCATGAACCTGCACATCAAACCACTGCCCGCTCCTCTGATTCATTCCAATCAGGAAATAAATCTCCTATAGAGATCATCTGTGAAATTAAATTTAAAAAACAAGAAAAGGGAACTGCTGGATTCTTAAAAGTTCTCAGAAATAATACTTGGGAATTCCATAGGCTACGGGGACTGTTAACACTGCTAACTCCATCCGAAATTTCTGCATTTAAAAAGACACACCTAGCAAAGGTTCTAAAATGGCACCACTGACTTTTTTGTAATTATGTTAAAAAGTACTAATTTCATTTCATTGGCATGAGATGATTCAATACTTCTCCTTAGCTTTCTGCTGAAAGCACAGCTCTCCTGTAAAAACACAAGTGAACAAAAACCCAACTCTGCTCTCATCACTGGGGAAGAAATGAAGGGCTGGACACGCAGAGCTTTTGGCTGAGGAAACCCGCAAGGGCCAACCAGGGCTCCAGGACGGGAGGCCCCTCCCGATGAAGAGCAGAAGAAAGACCAACGCGGACGTCAAGGACCCGCTGACTTTGAGCAGGAAGGTGGGAGGAGAGGAGGAAGGAGATGGGAGGACAAAGAAAAGCCTGTTTCTAAAGCACTTCAGAAGCAAGAAAGAACAAAAATACTAGCAAAGAGTAGGAAATGCCCAGCAGGAAATTTCTAGAATTCGTTTGTTTTCCAAAGAACAGGTCAAGAATTCTCCCTGGTTCCCATTCAGAGACCAGGCACAGCCTGACCCCAGGACAGGGTGCTCAGCAAATCCCAAGAGGAGGAGGTTGCCCCAAGGCCGCCTTCTATATCCTTCTACGTCCGACAACACGCCCAGCACGTGGGCTCCCGGACTCTCACTTACTTTTTGGAGTAGAACGCATCTTCTTCCTTCACTTCAGTAACTACTACTTTGGGTGGCTCATCACTCTCTTCTTCATCTCCACCTTGTAGAAAACAACACTAACTCAGTGAAATTCAAATCAGGAGCTTAGAAACGTCACAAAAGAGGTCACTCACCCCCAACACCTCAATCCACAAACTGCCCGTAAGCGGATGCAGAAACCGAAAGCACACATAGAACTGGGGCGGGGTGGGGGGACGGGAACGACGACTCACTGGATTGTAATTATTTTGTGAAAAATTCGGGGTATTTTTAATGGAGCATGCTTCCCTCTTCTAAAATGTTAACTTGGAGAAAGCCTTGGGATGAAAAACCGTCCACGCTTATGACTCAGTGCAGCAATTTTAACAGAAAAATAAACAGACTCCAGATCCCCCACAGGAAAAGGAAAATCTCCGGCAGGCCTCGCACAGCTCCACCGCGACGCTCCTGGGACGCCCTGTGCGTCACGCTAAGGAATCGGTCTCCGCGATGGCCGAAGATGAGGACAATACAGCTGGGTACGGGGCAGGCTGTCGGCCACACCACCCCGAAGCGTGAGCAGGCTGCGTCTGCGGCCCCACATCTAGCGGCTCGGGCCCCTGGCGGCCTCCCCAGCCCCAGGGGAGATCCACGACACCGATGCAAAGAACGAGCCCCGGAGAAAGATGGTCTCGGGACACACACTAAGTCAAAGCAACTCTCAGAAAAACAATTCCGGTGCTCCAACACGGCAAAGGGACGAGACTCAAACTCCCGAGAAGGCAGCCGTGAGCGAGGCTCTCCAGGGCAGGCCCCGGCAGTGAGACTCAAACAAGCTCTCGGTCCCTCTGGCATGGGGAGCAGCGCAGCCACCGGACGAGCAGGAGGACTTTACGACCGGGCACTGTGAGGGGACCGAGCCTCGCTCACGCCCCCGCACGGGCAGCCTCGCCGATCCGGGGACAGCCCGAGGAGCCGTCGTATTGAGGGCAGAGAAATAAAAGGGGAGAGCTTTAGTCTGTGCTTTGCTCTGGAGGGCCCCTGCCTGAGGATGGGCTCGAAGGAATGGAAGTTTCGCTCCCAGGAGAAAATGGCTGGTCTCTTCCATTCTGGAGTATCGAGAAGTGAACACCTCCTGCGAGATGTACGTTCTCACTGCTTACAAGCGAGTGACTTCACACAAGGTGTTCGCAGCCACCACGGGACGAGGCCACTAACCGCTCCTTCCAAAGAGCTAAGAACAGGGAGTGAAGGGCCGGTGACTCCAGCCCAGTTTGGGGCACTGATGCCACCACCCAAGGCGGACGCTTCTGGATAAAGGTGGCTGCAGTCCAGACACATGGCAGGAAGTCCCGCCCCTTTGTTCCCGTGGTGCCGCACAGTCCCCCTCTTCTATTCACAGCAGAGTACTTTTTTGCCAGGAGACTTCACCTACGACTAAACTTCCAAACACGAGACACGCGGCGGACACTGATGACCCGTTCTTTCTTTCGGTCAAGACCCAATTCTCAATCACCGCTAATTCACTGAACTTTCTGATGTGCAAAACCATGCATCTGATACTTTTCCAAGTCGCCGTGCCAGACACCGTTCCGGCCGTCATTCTCTCTTACACTCGCAGTGCTTACGGCAGCGCCACAGAACAGCTCTGACTTCATCAGGAGGGAAACGCCAGACTCGCGTGTCCGAGAGCACCTCCGGGCAGCGGCGAGTCCCACCACGATTCCCGATGCCCCCGAACCGCAAAGCCAAGTTCGTGCCGCTAAACCCGAACTCGGCTCCGAGACAGACTCAGGAGGGTAAACTCCGTTATTACCTTTGTAGTCGCTACTGCCGCCTTCGGCCTGTACCTCCAACGTTTTCGCGGAAAACGGTGAAGACGCTGGTTTATTCTGGGTCAGATCTTTGCCGAAGAAGCTGGAGTTTCCCGAAGAGAACGAAAACCCAGTCAGGGGGCCGGAGTTCAGGGAGCCCAGGACAGAACCGTCGATCTTCTTGCCGAAGTTGAACGAGGCACTTGCGGCTCCCGCGGGCGGCTCCGTCTTCCTCTCGGCGGCGCCGTCCTCTGCCCTGCCGCCGGCGAACGGGAACGCCGAGTCCTGCTGCGGCTTCGCTGCCCCAAACAGGGAAGGGGTCTGGGTGGCGAGCGGCACTCGATCGGCCTCACTCTCGGAGCCCCGGCCGCCCCCGCTCCCGTGCTGCTGCTCGATCCCCGCCAGGTGTCTCTCGTAGTCTCTGAAGATGGGCGTCAGGTCGCAGAGCGGGTTGGTGTTCACGTGCTTCGCGATCCAGTCCCGCACGGAGCAGTTTAAGGCCGCCAGTTGCTTGTGGTAGGCGCTCCGGGGGCAGGCGGCGCCGGAGGGGGGGCCGGAAGAGGAGGGCTGCTGACTGTCCCCGTTGGTTTTGGGAGTTAAAACCTTCTTATCCACCAAGGAGGTAGGACCATTCGCAGCAACAGATCCTACAGGGAAATTAAAGGTTGAAGAGTTTACGGAGGCCCTGATTTGATTCTGTGACCTGGTTTGAGCGCTGTTCTGTCTTCCTGTTTTCTGCTTTTACTGTGTCCCAATTTCTGTGGCCGTTCAGGAAGTATGTGCACGCCAAATATTTAGGAACCGGTGATCACAAAAATCAAGAACACGGTCTATGATGTGCTTGCATTAAACTTCTACAATTTAAAATAATCTTTTCTTTGAAAAGGAGGCCGGCTTCCCCCAGAACGGTCACAATAGTTAGTATAAAACTTAACCCCCCAGGTTGTAGGGATGAACATACATTAATGCAGTTAAAACCTTAACAGAAAGTGCCGGCTTAATCACACGACACGCTCCGCCTCATTAAAACAGAACAGTATAGGGGTGCCTGGGTGGCTCAGTGGGTTAAAGCCTCTGCCTTCGGCTCAGGTCATTATCTCAGGTCCTGGGATCGAGCCCCGCATCGGGCTCTCTGCTTGGCGGGGAGCCTGCTTCCCCCTCTCTCTCTGCCTGCCTCTCTGTCTACTTGTGATCTCTGTCAAATAAATAAATAAGATCTTTAAAAAAACAAAACAGTAAACAGTTAAAATTACTAGCTAAGCACAATCCAACCAGCCAGGATCGCTTCTGAACACCAAAGACAGGAGCCCGTGAGTCCGTTCTCTGTTGCTGACCCCAAGAGTTCTAGACCAAGTCTCTCAAAACAGGATCAGGCCGTCGCATCCCAGGTGAAATCAATCTAGGGGGAGGACCCGCAAGTTCCTCGCAGGTGTGGGCAAGTCCCTGGTACACAGAGAACGAAGGAGCACACGGGAGGCAGGTCTTTATGGAGGGTCCACTGAGAGCTTCCTCTTCTCCTTTACCCCACAGGTCAGTTCTGAGGGTCGTTCTCATTTCACAGCCCAAGGTTTGGAGGTTAAGAGGCTAAGGAACTTGACCAGGGCCGCAGGGCCTATGACCGGCAGAGCTGAGAACAGAACCTGGGTCTGTGCTGGCTCAAAAGCCGGCGCTCTACTCACTCGGCAAAAAGTCAACACCTCCCTCATTTCCCTTTCATTGTCATCCCGGGACCCTCGTTGCCCAGTTATTTTCCCAATAGTCGTTACACCGATGTGAGTGTGGGGAGGAGTACCTACTCACCGAAGGCCGCCTTGCTCTCCGTGGCCGCCCTGGCGCCGGAGAAGGGAGGGGCGCTGGTCACGCCGCCCCCATTTGATAGCCCTTCCAAAGGCTTCCCTCCAGCACCGTTGCCAAATCCAGAAAACCCGCCTCCTCCAGAAGGTACAACCAAACCTTTAAAACCTTTAAAGGCCCCTCCACTATCGGACTGAAACAGAGAGAGAGCACACGTTAGATGATGCTACGCTTCCCAGATAAATAAGCAAGTCCGTGACAAGACCGCGTCGGCTGAGAGGCACCCAGAATGCTTACAGGGCCAGCACCGAGGAAAGGGAGCAGCCGGCACACAGACAGGACCTGAGCCCGACTTAACTCGCAGTGACAGCTCTGCAGCCCAAAGCTGCCTTCCTGACAGCCAGGAAGATAGGAACTTGCAGTGAAACTTGTTTTTAAAAATATATTTAAGGTACAGAAGGCAAAAAAAGACTAATGCAATCAATTTGTGTACACAGCCTCAGAATTAGGACTGAAAATATTCTAAAACAACTGAACCCCCAATGAAGCATTTTTCTTGCACCACTCCATCCAAGACCGTTAGCCTAAGGGAGCTGTAGGAGTATCAGGTCAGGCTGACTGATGAAGGTATCTTTACCCATCCTCCCAGGACTTCCTAAAGCATTCCTGTAGCTTTTAGCTTCTGGAAACGTGAGTTGTTGACTCTCAAATCTAGACTTTCCCTTGGTTGAGAAATCCAGAGGCAGCATTTTTCTTCTCGATTTTCTCACTACTTCCATCAGCAAGGTCCTTCTAGTAGACCTTTCCCACGGCCGCTGGCTTCCTCGCATCTCTAACCCACAACGCTCTGGAAATGTCTGGCACTCACTGTGAGCGTCTATACCCGCTCTCTGCCCCTGCAAACTCTTGGAGGGATGCTCCCCAGTTTACACTGCTCTGCTGAAGTCCCCTCCCCCCACCCCCCATTCAAGACTAGTGGTTACACCACAGTGGGCACGATCTGCTTCCTGGATCCGAGCTCTAAGGGAGGCTCTAGGAAATGTTCTCGGAAACACATCACGGAATCCGTGCTTCCAAACATCCAAGGGAGTGCAAAAACCTTCCATTTTTAACCCAAATGAATTATAATCAGAAGCTCACAAAAATATTACTTCAAGCAGAAACTCTTCACTTTCTGAATGGGCTGGTTAGCCTAATAATATTGTAGTTTTCAAAAAACACAAAAGTTTCAATCACATCCATAGGAATTTCAGATGGTTACTCACCAAGGTACAATTATGGCAATAAAATTAGGCAAAAAAGGCAAACACCTTAACTTGTATGAATTTTAACGCGTGTAATAAATACGCCTTAGGCGCTGACGCTTCTATTTGATTTGATCATTCAATAACCCGAAGACAGCAAACGGACAGCTACCATCCTGCAACGGCTTTGCATGGGCCAAGCAGAAAGCTGTGAGTGGCTCCTCAGAGCCTGTTATTCTGTGGGAGATTTAAAAGCCATGGGCTGGGCGCCTGGGTGGCTCAGTGGGTTAAGCCTCTGCCTTTGGCTCAGGTCATGGTCTCAGAGTCCTGGGATCGAGCCCCGCGTCGGGCTCTCTGCTTAGCGGGGAGCCTGCTTCCCCTTCTCTCTGACTGCCTCTGCCTAATTGTGATCTCTGTCAAATAAATAAATAAAATCTTTATAAAAATAAATAAAAGCCACAGGCTCTTTATAGTGATTTTAGAAACTGTTAACAGCAAATTGGCTCTAGGATTATCACAAAAATTCAAGAACCACTGATTTAAAAAAAAAAGAAAGAAAAGGAACAGGAGTCACTCAGAAAAAGGACAGAAGTGAATGAGAAGCCGTCTGCCTGGGCCCCATGGAACTGACACGCTCCTGGGCCCGCCAGTCTCCCTCACTCACTTCCCTCCGTGGCACTTAAAGACAAAAACTACACGCTCAGTGTGTCTCTCCCGTCATTAGGATGAAAGCTCCACAGGGCATGGGTATTTCACTTACTCCTGTTTTTACCCACCAATGTATCTCTAGCGCTTGGCAGGTCTGTTGAATGAATGGACAAAACCACAACAGGCGACCCCTGACTAACGTGGGGGGCAGGTGCACTGACCCCCTCCCTTATTAACCACCCCTCACCCCCCGCGTATAAATGGACCCAGGCAATTCAAACCCCTGTCGTTCAACAGTCAACCCTCTATGGGAAAAGGCGCATTTCAGCATTGAAGCAGATGACATAACATTTAATTTCTTATTACACAAGTTCTGAAAGTTATAGCTGAAATGATCAGGTAGATTTCAACTATCCATGTTCATTTCCTTTAACAGCCAGAGGGCTCCCCCACCCCCCTTCCCTTGGGCCAAGTCTGGATTGTGGTCTACATGGTTTCTACCTCTTCACCGTCACTCCTGAGAGGCACCGTCTCTCCTCGAGGCGGTCTTCCTTCCTTTGGCTTCTCAGTCCATGTCACGAGCTGCCACTCTCACTTACACCCCGGTTTCAACGTCCGGCATGGTGACGACTCCCAGAGCTGTAGCCAGCAGTCACCCCTCCTCCTGCACCAGGTAACCACCCATGTACATACAGTGGTCTCCTACAGAACCTCACTGGGATGTACCCCAGGCCCTTAAAATACATTCCCCAAGTAAACCAATCACTTCCGCCCAATTAAGTTGTCCTTCCCCCGCTCTATCTTCTCCACGAGGGAGCCATCCAGCCTCACTACATCCAACTCGCCATCAGTCTTTAAGATGGAAATCGACCAGAGGAAACTAACAAGGCCCCACAAAGGTGTCATTGAGTAGGCTCCTTCCGGCTGCCACCCGGGGCGTGCACACCAGCTCCTCCAGCCTGACAACAGAAGGCCAGGCCACCGAGTCAGCTCGCAGGCATCTGGAACATGTCTGAGGGCTGAGGACTGTACCGGGGAAGCGTTATTAAATGTGGAGTGATGGCTGAATGCAGACCATGTGACTTCCAGAGTTACGACTCATCTTTAACCCTTGTGAGTGCAGGAAGGAAACCCTGTAACACACGATATTAGGAAGAAAATCTACATGTGAAGTGCTTCCCTTACAGCTAACAGATTCCCCCCACCACGACCGCCGCCACACGCCTCAATGCCAGGGAGCAGAGGGAGCACGAGAACACCCTGCATTTCCCTCCCTCATTCCTCCTGTCACCCTCTCCTCTTCCTACTGCTCCTCAGCTCGCATCTGTCTAGCTCTACACTTTACTTCTACAGCTGGATAAGGTGCACATCTCGTACTTATTGTTTCTATCTCCCACGGTCCACCTCAAGGATTTTCACAAGTAGAGAAAGCATTTGAAGAAGCATTTATCGATCTGACTGCTCCCAGAGGTAGAAAGGCTCTGTAATTAGAAATCAAATTAGTGTTCAATACCAAAAGTGGTAAGAAAACACTCACTTCAAATCCAACATTTCTACGCTTTGCTTTCTTTATGGCTCTATTCTTCAAGACTTCCTCACTGGCCACTGAGAACGTTCCCACCTGCAGGTACACAAATTAAACAGCAGTAAGAGAAGGCCCAAAACGAGAAGAAACGCTAACCAAAATGCCTGACCAAACTCATCTTAGTATCTGCTGGTTTTAAAGTACCGCGAATACTGTAAAAGATTATGGAGAGGGCGCCTGCGATCAAGTTGACGTCTGTTGTCTATCTTGTGATTCCCGAAGCCACTCTGGTGAGTCCGAAACCTTCCAGGTCTATGTAAACCCAGGCTTTGAATCACAGTCCCGAGGACGGCACACAGGAAAGTGCTGACAAGACGGAGACCGTCAAAAGTCTTTAGAGGGGCGCCTGGGGGCTCAGTCGGTTAAGCCTCCAACTCTTGATTTCGACTCAGCTCATGATCTCGGGGTTGTGGGATCGAGCCCCGTGTTGGGCTCTGTGCTAGGTGTGGTCGACCTGATACTGTCGCTCTCACTCTGCACCCCTCCCCAATCTAAAAGTAAGTAAATAAGGGGCGCCTGGGTGGCTCAGTGGGTTAAGCCTCTGCTTTCGGCTCAGGTCATGATCCCAGGGTCCTGGGATCAAGTCCCACATCGGGCTCTCTGCTCAGTGGGGAGCCTGCTTCGCCCTCTCTCTCTGCCTGCCTCTCTGTGTCCTTGTGATCTCTGTCAAATAAATAAATAAAATCTTAAAAAAAAAAAAAGTATGTAAATAAGATATTAACAAAAACAAGTTAGGTATGGAAACTATTCAGCACAAGTTCTTCGAATTTCAAATATATTCAAAGATATGAATAAAACTTAGAATAAAAACCCAGTTTTAGGCAGCAAAAATCTGGTCTTCAAAAGCCAAAAGATAACTTAAAGATCATTAACAGTGGGTAACAGAACCAGTCATAAGATCCTAGATTTTATGACTGCAGTTTCCAAAAAAAAGAGTTTGTATTTATCAATAGGCACTTGATCTTTAAGAGAAACCTTGTCCATTTGCCCGTCATCTCGGAGACACCGGCACACGCTGGGCTTGAAGTGACCCCGTTGCAGCTGCTGCTCATCCCACTGGCTGACAGAACTATGCCCACCGTTGGATATTTGCTGAATATCTTTTATTTCAACCCTCCTTTTACCCTGTAGGGCTGGCATAAAATACTTCCTGTAAGAAGCGGTCTCTGTAGTTATCTCAGATAATGTTAAACTCAGAGATCTCTGCACTAAAGAGAAGGGGCCGTCTGGCTGTGCGTGTCCTGAATTCAGGGTGAGGTCCTTTCAGACTCACTTTCACTCCTGCTATATGTATGTCAAAGCAAATCACTAGATAGTTATCATAAATCGTACAGGCACAGAATGTAACACTGTGCTTAAGACCCGGAGAAAGTTTCCAAGGAGTTGGTTAAAAAGCACCAAGTCAGTTAGGAATATTAAAAACCTTGTCAAAATATTAATATACTTGTGATTTTGGTTTCCCTAAACATGCTAATACGTTTATTTGTAAAGGGGAAAACGTTCATACCACAAGACAGATTCGGAAAGAAGGAAGATGGTTTAGGAATAAGCTTGGAACACACCTTTTCTTCTTCTTCTTTTTTTTCCCCCTTAAACCTAGCACTATTCTGTTAACTCAAAAGGCTAACTTGGTTACAGATTTCCTCAGTGAACTGGCCAGGGAGGATCAAACTGCTGATGAGGCACGAAAAAGGCAGCTGTGTTCTACAATTTGGAAGAGAAAAAATTAAAGTATTTCCTCAGGGAAGACCATTTGTATTTTGTTAGAGAAACTAGGCCACTCTAAATTCCATCCCAATTATTGCCATTTGGGGAGCGGGGAGGTCTGAGATCCGTGTGAACATGAAAGAAGACAGGCCTCCAAGAGGCATCAGAGCACAGGAGGCACCTCGATCTGAAATCTCCAACCGCAGGGATGACAGACTGAGATGCACGTGGTGGGGAACCACGGCTCGAGTGTGAGCACCAGCGCCTTGCGGAGCTCACGACTAGATCGCTTACTCACTCTTCCGTCTTGACTAAAACTACGGGTTTAGAATGCAGGAAGTGCATGACATTCAGGAAGGTGCTTCTACGAAGCTGCAGAATATTTCAGGAACAGGCGCTAGCAGAAAAAGACCCCTGAATGTAATTAACTCATTTCTAAACTAACAGGTCATAACAGACCAAACTACTTTCTGTTCAGGCTGTTCTTTAAAAGACCTTTTAATTTTGCTACAAAATCTTCCTGAGGAATCCCAAAACGAATTGAAATTGAGAAGCGGAAGAAAATCATTCTTGGGGAAAGATCTTACCTCTTCTGCTTCATCTTCTTGATCCCAGTTCCTATCTGTCAATTCCTTCTCAGCAATCCTTTTGGCCATATTTTCAAACCTAAGTTAAAAGTAGAGAGAAGTGAAACGTGCTTTTCTAGACCAAGATGTAAAAACTTACAAAGAATTTTTTTTAAGACTTCCTGACTTATCTGAGAGCGAGAAGGCGCACAAGCAGGAAGGGCAGAGGGAGAGGAAGAGAGAATCCCAAGCAAGCAGGAAGCCTGCTGAGGAGAGTGATCCCACGACCCTGAGATCATGACCTGAGACGACCCCCAAAATCTGATGGCTTAACTGACTGCACCACCAGGTTTCCCAAGAATTTACAAAAAATTTTTAAAGAATTTTTACAAAGAATTTTAAAAATTCACTCTAGCATGAAACAAGATAAATAAAAAACAAAAACAAAAAACCCAAACCCATTCCTGATCAGTGGGAAGTGCCTTCATCAGCACTTGACAGCAGCGGTTAGGCTCTCCGTGTGCGTATCGCAATGAAGGATTACGGAAGGAGGCTGTGCAGGTCTTCTAAGAACACTGGCACTCTTTCTGCACAACCCTAAACCAGCTCCGTTTGAAAAAAAAATTAAAACAAAACACTGACTTTTTAAAATCTGAAATCTTAAGTACTATATATATCATCAACCAGCACTTACTTTATTCTATGCTGAGTAGCAATTACAGTCTTGCCAGAGGCAAAACATTTTAAATACTTAAAATCCTCTTAAAGATGATACAGTAAAGAAGTTCATCTTTAGATAAGAACGTTAACAGGCACTGGAAATACTTTCACAGCACAGTACTCTTCTTTAGGCTACAGACAATTGACAGAAATAAATTTCCCAAGACTGAACATTTAATTACCCCAAATTGTATATTGTTAAGCCAGAATATCATTTAAAAGTTCAAAATGTAATTAATACAGACGTGTTAACACTCAAAATTTATGTAAGATCTTTAAGAATAAGCCATCACTCAACTCCTCTAAAGCCATGTCAGAGGAAGGAGGAGGAGACGAGGACTGAGAGTTTTCTCTCCCCAGTGGACACAAGCACCTAGCCAGAGAGGAGGCTACTGCCCATCCCTTACAATCCGCAATGTTTTCCGATCCTAATATATATTCTTTGCTATAAACAACAAAATTAGTACAACAACCAACAACTCAACTCCATTTTGAGTGCTGGCCTGGCTGTTCTCTAACTCACCAGTCAAATGGACCAAAAAACCCCTCCATTTTCTCTGTTGCCCATCCTGCCCGGGGCAAGTACCCAGTTCCTTCAGGGTTCCTAAAACCTATCTGGACTTCTGATGGTCTCTGCCCACTCTCACTTGTCCCAACACCACAAACCACCAGAATCGGTTCCTAGAATTTCGTGGTCATTAAGATACACATTCACACATTGCCCATTTCTCTTTTGTATCTACCAAATTAAATTCAAATGCTGACATTCCTAAGTCCTTCAAATTCTAACCCCCAACAGAGTAATTACATAGGGGACTGTCAGCTTTTTCTTTTTTTAAAGATTTTATTTATGTATTTGACCAAGAGGGAGAGATCACAGATCACAAGTAGGCTGAGAGGCAGGTGGACAGAGGAAGCTGACTCCCTGCTGAGCAGAGAGCCTGATGCGGGACTCGATCCCAGGACTCTGAGACCATGACCTGAGCCAAAGGCAGAGGCCTGACCCACTGAGCCACCCAGGCGCCCCGGAGTGTTAGCTCTTAATAGTCTAATACCACCTGAACTTTTACTTTACAAGTATGTACAGGGTTTTTTTCCTAATGGTAAAATAATTGGTTTTAACAGCCATAATGCTAATAATGAAGTATGACACTCAGCCATTACCTGCAAATCCCCCTTTTTAAAGTCTCCCCCTCAAATACCCGGTCAAGTTTTGCCATTAATGCTGTTCACTCAAACAAAAGCAAACAAGGGACCTTCTGACATAGCTCCTTACTGAACTTCGACTGTTCAGAGGCGGGGGTCTGGGGGTGGGGGGGTGGGTAGGCACACGACTCGTTCCCCGGTCAGTAACGAACACCTCCACCAGGGGGCGGAAGAGGCGGGAAGGTCCCGTTTCGCTACGCTCTATAGTAAGTTACTAAAGCAAGAAAGTGGGGGGGGGGGGGAGGGAAGCGCAAACAGCGCAGTCACAGTGTAACATCTAACTGGGGCCCACAAGTGAGATAACCCGCAGAGTAAAGCCACCAACACTAAGGAGGCTGCTTCCCCAGGTCACCGTATTTATCTAAGGTGAACTGACCCCAGGGCAGGATCTCTCTTGCTTACTGCCCCTCCAGGTGACCCGCCCGCTCTCAGCAGGTTCTCCAGCAGTCACTGAGCGGTGATCTGGGGGCACGACTTATTTTAGAAAATACTACAAGACGCTGGCCCCTCAGTTTCCCCATTTTCTTGCCAGACCTCCCGCAAGTTATCTGAGTGCTGTGCTCACTTTCTCCATCTGAGGAAGGTGCTGTGAAAATTAAGGAAGATAGAGAAAAACCTTGGTTCAGAACGGTGTTTGGAACACAGAAAGGCTTCACGAATATTATTAAAGAAACAAGTTTTGCTAGAAGCAAAGGCTATAAAATATTAGTTCTCCTCAAAATGGTAAAGAGCATAGGGTAGGAAAAGAGACTCAATTATGAGCTAGGCTTTAAAATACATTTTAGCACATCCATATTTTATTTCAAAGCACGATGCTCCAGACAATGTATACATAGTTTTTTTAATGCAAGAAGAGGAAGGGAAAAACCCCAAAATCTCCGCAAAGTACTCAGGACAAGGCCCGGCACCCAAAGAGTCTTAAGTCCTGGCTATTGTTATTTTTTTTAAAGATGTTATTTATTTATTGGAGAGAGAGACAGTGAGAGTGAGCATGAGAGGGGAGAAGGTCAGAGGGGGAAGCAGGTTTCCCTAGAGCTGGGAGCCCGATGCGGGACTCCATCCCAGGACTCCGGGATCATGACCTGAGCGGAAGGCAGTTGCTTAACCCACTGAGCCACCCAGGCGTCCAGTCCTGGCTTTCATTAAGAATTTGGGGGAGGGGCGCCTGGGTGGCTCAGTGGGTTAAAGCCTCTGCCTTCGGCTCATGTCATGATCCCAGGGTCCTGGAATCGAGCCCCACATCAGGCTCTCTGCTCAGCGGGGAGTCTGCTTCCTCCTCTCTTTTCCTGCCTCTCTGTCTACTTGTGATCTCTGTCTGTCAAATAAATAAATAAATTCTTTAAAAAAAAAAAGAATTTGGGGGAGCCTGGCTAGCTGAGTGGGGGGAGCATGCGACTCTCCATCTGGGGGGTTTTGAGTTCGAGCCCCAGGACAGATTACGGTAAAAATAAAATCTTAAAAAACATTTTTTTAAGTGAAGATTGTGGTTAAAAGGGCAGTAAATTTTAAAATGATTCCTAGGTATGAAGCACTGATAGAAAATTGAGAGTTTCCATAGTTGGAGAAAACTGTTATTTGTGCCTGGCAGAGTTATGTTGTCTCGGCCACAAGGTGCTGCCTCATCCTCCGGGATGAACCTCAGTCAACATCAGGTCACCCTAAGATGGAAATAGAAGTGACCGTAGTCGATAGAGAGGAAAGAAGAGAACAAGGGGGCGGAACCCGGAGGCTGGAACGCTGGGGAAGAACGAAGTCTCAAAATTTCTTAACGGAACAGAGGGAAGGGGCGATCAACAGCTCGACATGCAGTACGGGATGGGAAGCCACGCCGAAGAGGTAGTGTAGGGAGCGAGTGGGGCGAGGGGAGACAGCCAAGGAGAAAGCAGTACCGAGGGGAAGCGCTAGGAAGTAAACCGAGATGGGCCAAGCCGGGATGGCCCCTGCCCAATCCGGCCTCTGCCTCCGCGGGGGCCCCGCAGCCGGGAGAGCCTCACCCAAATTGGGCGCCACAACCGCGACAGGTCGGCCCCGCGCCGGCTTCACAAACAGCACCCGACTACGCGCCGCTGCGGTCATCCCGCCCCACCCTGCCCACTGACTCCTAACACCCCACGGCTCGGGCCCCTCACCCCTCTCCTCCAGCCCAGGTCCGAGTCCCGCATCCGGATTCCGGTTTCCTCCTCTCAGGCCCGGGCCCCTCGCCCCTCTCCTCCAGCCCGGGGTCCCTCTTCCAGGTCCGAGTCCCGCACCCTGACCCCGGCTCCTCCAGCCCACGATCCCCCTTCCACGCCCAGGTACTGTACCTCGTCTGACCCCGGGCTCCTCCTCCCCAAGCCTGGGCCCCGCAGCCCAGCTCCTCCAGCTCGGGGGGCCCCCTTCCAGGTCCGAGTCCCGCGTCCGGACCCCAGCTTCCTCCTCTCCTGGCCCGGGTCCTTCACCCGACTCCTCCAGCCCAGGATCCCCCTCCCACGCCCAGGTACTATGTCTGACCCCGGGTTCCACCTCCCCAAGCCCGGGCCCGCAGCCCGGCTCCCCCTTCCAGGCCCTCCCCGGTGCCGGGACCCCGGCGCCCCTCCCCGGGATCGGCCCCTTCCCCTGCCACGCTGCCCGCCTGCCTCTCACCTCCCGGCCGGCCGCCGCGGCACTCGCGGGGCTGTGGCTGCGGCGAAAGCCGGGTGAACGACAGCGAGCGGGTGCGAGGTTGCAGCCGCGGGCCTCGGGTGTGAAGCGGCCGCTGCTCACCCGGAGGAGCGCGCCTGGTCGCTTCCGGTGCGCCGAGATTCTCGAAGAACTTGGTGGTCAGCAAGCCTGGGATCTCCAACACCATGTCCTCCAGGGGCCTCGGCTCTCTGCGTTCGGCAGTGAGGGAGAGCAGTAAGCTCAGCCAAAGACCGCTGGAAGAACAGCGCCCAACGCGCCCCAGGCCGCCATTTTATAACTCCAACCTACCCCCCCCCCCCCCCGCCCCACCCAACTCTATAAAGAGGGAGAAAAGAAACGCCCGCGTCCAGCTACTGCGCAAGCGCACCGGAGCCTCGGCGAACAGTACCTCCCTCCGCGGGCTGCGGAGCGCCGCGCAGCGCAGGCGCTCAGCTGCCTGGAAACCGTTGCCGGGAGGCGCGCGCCCGTTTCGCGCATGCGCGCGCCTGCGTGCACTGACGCACGCGCGGTCCTCCGCGGGGGAGCCGGCGCCAGCGGCGGGAGTGTCTGCGCGGCGGTCACGTGTCGGCGACCGGACGCGTCCGCTGGGCGGTTTCCGCGCGGGTCGCAGGAGAGGACGAAGCGGGTCTAGAAGCGCTCGTGAGGGCGTGGTCAGCCAGTGAGCGTGGTCGGGGCTCGGGGCATTCCGTGCGAGGTGCTGAGAAGAGGCCGGCGGTGCTCGGGAAACGTGAGTGACTAAGGACGCCCGGCGTCGCCATCCTGTCCCCGAGAGCTGCCCCCCGCGACCCCGCCTTGATGGCCCGCGACGTGCCGGGCCGCCGAGGGCAGGGCGGCCTGGGACTGCGGAGCGCCGAGGACCGGCCTCGGTGGTGACGGAGGAGAAACGGACCCACTGGCCATCCCGCTGGTATTTGCCTTCTGCAGTGGCCGCCGTAGAGGCGGAGCAACGCGCTCAGAATCGCGCCGGGAGTTGGGGTCCACGAAGAGGAGTCGCGCCGAGGAACCGAAGCGTGTGTTGCCGTGCTCTTGTCGGGAAACTCCGGCGTCGCCGCAGGGGCTCGGGGCTCGGGCCGGGCGGTGGCCGGTTCCCGAGCGATTCGGTGGCGCGACCTGCCCGCGGCAGGGGTGCGCGAGACTGTCCGCCGGGCGTGCCGGGGGCACCAGGCCCAGCGGGACCTAACTGGGAAACGTGCTTCAGAAGAGGCGCATCCTTGGAGCCGCGGGAGAGGGAGGTTGTGAAGGCTCGGCTGTGGAAATCTCGCGGTGTGCGCGTCTACCCTGTAGAAACCGGTTTGCACGCGGTTTCCTGTGCGGGGGAGCCCCCCCGGGGAGCCCGTCCCTGGGCCGCGGTGTCCGGGACGCCTTACCGGCTGGACGGCGCGCGAAACGGTCAAGAAGAGGTGGCGCCCGCGTTGGACGTTTAAAGTCAAGGCAGGTTTATTGCCTGTCGCGGTGGGGACTTCCGCGAAGAATCCAGAACGCAGATGAGGCCGAATGTTTGGTTTTCCCCCGAGGATCGCTGGGAGAAGCGACATCCTGCCGGCGACTGTCTGGCTGGCTGTCGTCCGCAGGGCGCGTGTGAACTGGGTGGAGTCATGCGGACCGTGCGTGCAACCAGTCGTGTGAGCCGTGTGCCACTGCGTGGTCTCCAAGGGCGCGCTCTGGTGTTCCGTTTCCATCATCGGAAAGAGAATTCACCGTAGAGCCCCTTTGGGAGGACGTGGGACTTGCCAGAACCGTCTATCTGATTAGTGCCAAGGCTCGGGTCTCGCTTCCAGCCCGGGGTCCCTTTGCACAACCACTGAATGCCGGCGGTCGGGGACTCCACAGCTGTTTGGTGTCAAGCCCAAAGAGGCCACTCAGCTCTTCCGTCTGCCCCAGGGGCCCACACTTCACAGGACTGTTGTGAACGCTCCTCACTTAAACCTTTCCAGCCCCCTTCCTCCCTGTTCCACCTCCCCACCCCCAGTCGCACCTCTGGCTTTACCATTCTTAGTGCATCAGAGGCACCCTGCCCGTGAGATGAAGAAATGTCATCCCAGACTTTGCCGAGCTCCTTTCTGACCAGTAGCTTGTGAATCTCCCTGTTGGGTTTTGTCTGTGTGAATCCCATTCATTCCAAAATGGTTCTAGTGCCTTTTTATAAATCGAGCTTTTTTTTTTTTTTAATCACCAAGTATAAATTCTAGATTACTTGCAATATAATATTTGGGTTGTTAACCATGGAAGGGGCACAGATAGGTAAGTAGTGGTAGCCTTCCACGGATATACAGTTGACCTTTGAACAACACCGGCTTGAACTGTGTGAGTCCACTTAGGTGTGGTTTTTTGTTTTCCGATAAATACAGTATAGTATTATAAATGTATTTTCCTTATAATTTTTTTTTAAGATTTATTTATTTGATAGAGATCACAAGTAGGCAGAGAGGCAGGCAGAGAGAGAGGGGGAAGCAGGCTCCCCACCAAGCAGAGAGCCCGATGCGGGGCTCGATCACAGGACCCTGGGATCCACCCGAGCCTAAGGCAGAGGCTTTAACCCACTGAGCCACCCAGGCACCCCTCCTTATGATTTTCTTAACATTTTCTTTTCTGTAGCTCACTTTATTGTAAGTACAATGTATAATGCATATAACATGTAAGATACATGTTAATTGACTGTTTACGTTTTCAGTAAGACTTCTCATTAACAGGCTATTAGTCGTGAAGTTTTGGGCGAGTCAGAAGTTACACTTGGATTTTGGGCTGGTGGGGTGGGCAGTGTCCGTGACCCTAACTCCCATGTTGTTCAAGGGTCAATACTATTTATCTTTGAACTGTGGCTAGTTAAAATTAAAATCACAACTTCTGTTCTTGCAGTAATGCAACATTTATCTTGTGAGCCTAAGGGAAATAGTACATTTACTTCTTAATTACGTATTGTAGCATGAGGTGATTGATGCCTTTCTCATGCAAATAAAAGATTTATGTGTACAATAGCACTGTAGCTGACTTGCACATTATGTGGTAGAATTCAGTGCTTAACGAAATGATAGCTTTAAGCTGTCTGTAACTCAGGAGCATAGAGATGGTTTGCATGCTGAGCTATCTCCCTTCGTTGAATTTGGCTATGTGGTTAGTGAAGCTCTTTGTAAAATCTACAGAATAGTTCTCCAAAGGTGTGAGACCCTATCTCTGAAATCTGCCTTTCACTTTGCTTAACCTCCAAGGATTTTTATGGTTGCCCAAGCTGGATCACTTCCTTATGTTCAGTAAATCAGTATCCTGATTGTCTCAACACTGGGCAGGGCCTGGCCTGTTTTGTCCTAGAGATTCCACTGCATTGGGCACTCCCAACATTTCACATCTTATGTTTTTGTATTTTTCATATCTCAGGCATCAGTGCAGAAGGATGAAAACAAAGTGCTGAATTTTCTAGAGTTCTTTGTTTTCTCTTGAGGCTTTACACTCACGGAGAAAACAGCAAATAGTATGTTTAAAAACCTCAAAACACTGAATTATATGAAGTAGCATATTTTATCATTTTTCTTTCCTTCTTTCTTTTTAATTTAAAGATTTTATTTTACTTATTTGACAGAGAGAGATCACAAGTAGACAGAGAGGCAGGCAGAGAGAGAGGAGGAAGCAGGCTCCCCGCTGAGCAGAGAGCCCGACGCGGGGCTCGATCCCAGGACCCTGGGATCATGACCTGAGCTGAAGGCAGAGGCTTAACCCACTGAGCCACCCAGGCGCTCCTGTATCCTTTTTCTGGGAATGAAATTAGCTGACAGGAATTAACGAAAGAAAATCATCAGGAGGTGTCACGGCCCAGTGGTGGCAGAGGCAGAAATTGTCATGAGTTCCAAAGCAAGTGATCCCCTCGGGCAGAAGCCGGAAAGGACTCATTCACAGCCTTGAGGCTGAGGGGCCTCAAGGATGTTGTGTGAGTCGAAAGGGGGCGGGGCTGGCAAGGAAGGGTGGTGGGGGGAGTAGTTAAGGTGTCTGGGTCTTGGAGACGCAGCCTGAGAGAAGGCACACGAGCAGATCTACCCTATGTTTGAGGAGACCCAACTGTTCTTCCATCCCCCTCACGTCTGAAGGGGTCACGTGTGCGGACGCGTTTGCAGATGCTGCTGAGGACAGTGTCCGGCCCGCCTCTGAGTACTCGTAGGAATAATGGGATGCAAACGGTATTTGTGAGACTTCTCCTAAGCCAGCCCCCCGTCTTCCTGCAGCCAGTCTGATGCTGCCCCTCCCCGTCCACCGGCTTGCTGCTTTACCCTTGGGTCCCTCGACTGCTTTCGTGTCGGGACCTCTCTAATTCTTAGCCTCCTTTCTGCCTGGCCACCCCTTACCTGCCACCCCTGCCACATACTTCTTCTCCAGCTCTGTGGCTTCAGGGGACTGTCTTGGTCAGGAGGAAGAGAGGGGCGGGTGCACACGCATTGAGCAGTGTTCAAATGCCCGTACGTGGTGTAATTGCCATGTGATCTTAGGTTGCGTTACTTGGAGTATGATGTTTGAAAGAGCGGAGGTGGTCCCTTCCGACTTGGAGTAGGCACGGGGAGAGGCAGGACAGAGGGTGGAGGTGGAGAACGCGGGGCTCTGGAGACAGGCTGCCTGCATTTTAATAACAGTCTTCATTTCCTAGCTCAGTGGCCTCGAGCACGAAACTTACTTTCTGTGCCTTCTTTCCTCATTTCCAGAATGGGGAGTAATAATGGTGATCTGTCTGATGGGGTGGTCAAACGTGCACTGAAGTCACGTGACTGCAGTGCTGAAAACGGAGCCGTTGGCGCGTAAGCACTCCAGAAGGGTTAGTTCTTACGTGTCAGTTCTGGGCAGCCTTCTCTGAAGAAGTGCGTGGACACGATGAGACCGAGTTAGAGGATCTGACTGTAAGGGCAAGGGGACAGGCCCTGCGATCTAAGGGTAGACCAAAGGACTTAGATGCTCAGACAGAGAAGAGAAAAACTCAAGTTTTTTCCCACAGATTTGAGGCAAGTCTCATCGTTTGTCTATTCCGTTCCAGTCTGTATGGCTCTGAAGTGAGGGACTCTGAAATGGTCCCAGAGGAAATGGAGGAGACGGTGGGATAGAGTTGAGAGGGTCGAGTTCCACGATCACACCAGAGTCAGAATCCCAGTTCTGTCCTCACCATATGTGACCTGCAGCTGTACTCAACGCCTTTTGAAGCTCAGTTTATTTATCTGTAAAATGGAAATACTTTGAAAGAGGCGACAGGGATGGTTCGTGGTGG